CAACTTTGCTGTCATCTTCACAGTTCCAGTCTCTTAGTGGAGCTTTTTGTTCTTTTAGATATAGGATTACATCATCTGCGTACAGGGATAATTTGACTTCTTCCTTTCTAATTTACATCCCTTTGATTTGTTTCTCTTGATTAATAGCTCTGGCTAAAACGTACAGAATTGTATTGAATAGAAATTGTGAAAATATGCTCTGTCTCCAGTTCTTAATGGAAGTGCTCCAGCTTCCCCTTCAGTATGATGCTGGCTGTGAGTTTGTTGTATATTTCCTTGGTTATATGTTGAGGCATGCTCCTTCTGTACCCAATTTGCTTAAAGGTCCTTTTTTTTTAAAAAAAAAATTATTAAGGAATGTTGTGTTTTATGAAAAGCTTGCTCTGTATCGAATGAGATAATAATATGATTTTTATTCTTCATTTTGCTAATGTGATGGGTCACATTTATTAATCTGTGTTTGTTGAACTGACAATATCAGCTGTCTCTGTTCCTGAGTGCTGAAGTGGTTTGATAGCACAGAGCAATGCAGTATCCTGCACCCCCACAAACAGTTGAGAAGACTGAAACCTTTTTTTCATCCTCCTTCAGCCCCCATCCTGACCTTCTCCACCCTAATTTGAGGGCCAGATAGGTCTGCAACCCACTCAGCCATGTAGTCAGTATTAACATAAATAAACAGAAAAAAGACATGAAAAAATGGGCTCTTCATTTCAATGATATTGTATACGGTTTTCTTGTCCTAAGGAAAGTTTTATATGATTTTCTGTTCTAAGGAAAGTTCCATGCAGTGATGAAAAAAATAATGTGTATTTTTCATGTGTGGGATGAAATGTTGTATTGATATCAGTAAGATCCATTGGTTGAGAGGATAGAGTAGTTCTGGGTATTGATGAAAGTGAGGTCTTCCATTCTTTCTTTGGAACATATTGCTCACTTTTATCAATTCATTTTTATTTTCTAAAGAGTTATTTATTTGTTTGAAAGTCAGTATTACAGAGAGAGGGGAATAGGGACAGAGAAGGAATCTTCTGTCTTGTGGTTTATTCCGCAGATGTCCCCAGGGGTGAAACCAGGCCAGGCTGAAACCAGGAGCTGGGAGCTTCCTCCAGGTTTCGCACATGGGTGACAGGAACCTAAAGATTTGGTTCCTCCTCAGCTGCTTTTCACAGGCCATGGGCTGGGAGCTGGATCAGAGGTAGAGCAGCCAGGACAGGAACTGGCGCCCATCAGTGCTGATTTTACTCACTATACTACCATGCTGTCTCCTTACATTTGTTTTTAAAAAGGTGTATGCCCTATAATTGACTGCATATATATTTACTATAATCACATTTTCTTGTTGATTTGATCCCTTAATTACATAATTTCCTGCCCTCTTTTAACTGTTTGTTTTGATTCTGAAGTCTGTATTATCTAATATCAAAGTAGCTACTAATGCTTCCTTTTTATTTCCATTTACATGGAAATCCTTTTATACTCAGTCTGTATTCAGACTTTATTGGTAAGGTATTTCTTTCAGATAGCATGTAGATACATGGGTCTTGTTTTTTAATCCATCTACCCAGGCTGTCTTTTAGTTGGAGAATTTAATCCAGAAATATTCAAGGTTGTGTTGATAAGTAATGACTCGGTCCTGCCATTTTTCAACAAATACGCCTTCTGTTTGTGTTGATCTCCTTTGTACTGTACTAGAAAGTGCCCTGCTTTCATCTTTCATGATGCTGGTTATCTGTCCCTGTTTCTGTGTAGTACTTCCAAAGTATCATTTGTAAGGCTTGTCAGATGATCACCACATTCTTTCCATTTTTCTTTCTTTTGGAAGGTCTTCATTTCACCTTTATTTATAAATGGAAGTGTCTCAGGGTAAGGTATTCTTGATAGTTTTTCTTTAAGGACTCAATGTACCTCTTCATTGTCTACAAGAATGTTGGATTTGTAATAAAAAATCTGCAGTCAATCTAAATGGAGAGCCTTTGAAGATAATCTGGTATTTCTCTCCTGCACATTTTAGGGCCTTTTCTTTATGCGTTACTTTTGAAAGCTTGAATGTGTTGTTGTGCTGAATTCTTCTTTATTCCCATGTCTTTGGGGTTCTATGTGCTTCCTGTACTTAGGTATCTTTCTCAAAGGAGGGACATTTTCCGATTTTCCTGCTGTTGTTTCTCTCAGTAAGTTTTCTTAGCCATTTTGTTCTTCATTCCTTCAGAATTCCTAAGATACATATATTTGTTGACATCCATATTCCTGAACACTTTTTTTGTTTTCTTATTTTGTTCCTTATTCTTTTTATTCTTTTCAGCCTGATTGAGATTTTCCCCTTGGATGTACTTTTCTTCTGCATCACCAAGTCTGTTGTTAAGGCTTTCTACTGTATTGTTTATTTAACATATTGAATTCTTCATTTCTAGTATTTTTGTTTAATTTTTTTCTTGGACATGTTTGTCTTCCTGTACAATTTTTTGTCCATGTCTTATACTGATTTACAGTTAACTCCTATAATTGCTTCTCTGTGTTATGAGTGATCTTACAATCATTCTATTGAATTCTTTTTCAGGTATGTTATCATTATCCTGATCTTCAAAGTCTAAGTATTTCTGGTTTCATTTAGGGAGTCATATTGTCTCTCTTGTTCATGTTTCTTATATTTTTAAGTTTATTGTTATTAATCTGAGGAAACACTTGTTAATATCTCCTCTGAAGCCTTTGTTCTTGGAAGGGTGTCTATGATTTCGTGGAATGCCTGCAGCTTCAGCAGCTCTCCAGCCGTATATGCTGGGTAGAGCCAGGGAACTCTGGCCAGTGTTTGTGGGTGGGGCAAGAGTCCAGGGTAGCAGTGAATTAATTCAGCAGAGTGGATCTCCTCTGTTATCAGTATGGGGAGAGGATGGGCCTGCTGGCTGGCATGTTGGCTGACTGAGCCCTTTTCTGAGCCCAGGTTAACCAGCTGCCAAGAGTGAGTTCATGGTGCCTGCAGAGCTCACACACTCAGGTTCGCACACCTCACAAAGGGTCTGTGCACTCCGAAGTGTGATCCCTGAGCCCTCTGTAGGTTCCTTTCCCTGCACGTGGTATTCTGAGATTTGGAAGTTGAACTGAGCAATTGCTCAAAGATCAGCAACATTTCAGTCCCGTCTCAGTCTCCGAGCCTATAAACATCACAGTCACAGGATCTCTACAGTCACAAGATCTCTACAGTCATGGGGTGCTGGGAGCCCCACCCACAGCCAATTCTCCAGGCTGAACTCAGTGAGCACCTCCAAGTTTTCTCTTAGACAAAACTCCACCAATGGTCATGCTCTCGAGAGATGGCATTCCCTCTGCTGGCCACCAGGTGCTTTGGTGGAAAGAGCAGTGGGAGGGAAACGGCATGACCTCTCTGACTATAGATAAGTGGGTACCCTCCCCTGAACCAACTCTGTAGACCTGACTCACAGTGGTGGGGTCTGTGGGTTCTTCCTCTGATGAGGTCACCAGTGGCACTCTGGTTGGCGCAGCCTCCTTTCTCCTTGGTCTGGATTGAGGACATCTGCACTGCGGGCCGTGGGAGTCGCTGGGAGCTTGCTGCCAGCTGCGGGCGCATTTGTGCACTGTGTTCACTGCTGTGTGGAATCTCTTCTCATGTACACTTTCCAATGAAAACTTCTCTCCAACTGTCTTTAGGGAACACGGACTCTCCCCTGTTCTGTTCTGGTATATTCCTGTGGTCAAAACCAATGTTATCTTTCACTTATTCAGCCATCTTGGAACTCCCAACATAGACTTTAATCTCATAAGTAAATGATAATTGTGTCTTCACTAAATCTGTTGTTATTATTTAGGCAAGTGAATACAGACTTATTTTTGTTTGTTCACGTAGTATGAGAATAAATACTCAAACGTAATGATGTAACGTGCATGCAAAGAGCCCAGTTCTCCTTGACTCATTTGAAAATACTATTATGCTTAATTTGTAAGTCAAAGGAATTTTGTTTTAGCCATTGTAAAGAATTTGAGTTCTTTAACTAGGAGACTGGTTTTTGATTAAGCATTTTGGACATTTTGATTAAGCATTTGACTCTCAGAGAAAGACTAAATGGTACATATAGCTAATTACGTGTTCTAAGTAATTGGCATTTTAAAATGTGAAGCAGCAAAAATTAACCCTGAATATGATTGTGTAATCCCTTTCCTCAAAATCTTTAAAAAAATTTTTGTGCCTGGAATGATTAGTTTCTAATACCAGGAGCCAGTGAATGTAAAGGGAACACGGACGTCCTTTGGTCATTCAGTCTGAAGACAGTGGACAACATCTGTTGCTGCTGTGGTTGCTGCTTGCTGCTGGAGGGTATCTCTCATTCCCCTTTTAGGTTGGCTATCAGTGTAGGGCTATTCCCTTCTGTGATGTGATCCCTAGGGAAATGAACAAAATGTAATTGAATGTTGTTCAAGCCATCATTTCCTCTCTGGCATAGTACCTTGAAAATACTGGATACCCACTAGACAGCAAGTTTGAAAGGCTGTAAGAACCAGTGCTTGATCATATATGGGAATATGATTTTCAGATGACGCCTCCGAATTGTAGGCTTTATAGAAAGCTATAGATAGGAGATATCAAGACAGCACAATACACTGCATGCGGATTAATGCAGAGCCAGATGGCATTGTTAGCAGAATTTCCAGCTGGAGTCTCAGCCTCTTCTCTTCTTACCCAGTTTCCTGCTGTTGCCTCCTGGAGAGTGCTCGGGCACCTGTCCCTCAGGTGGGACGGAGTTGGAGACTCCTAGCTTCAGCCCCATCTAGCCCTGGGGAGTCAACTAGCGAATGGAATAGCTCTCTAATAATCTCCCTTTCTAGAAGAGAAGATTAACCTTTTTTGTTTTAATGTGAGGCCTACCACTGTGGTTCTGTGGCTCTCAGTGCTGCTGTTACGTTTTTAATGCTCCGTAGATTTATAAGAATGACTATGGATTACAGTAACTGACACTGAAATAAATCTCAATAAATATATTTTCTTTCAGGTTTACCAAAAATTTATCTCCTGACAAGATAAATCTAAGTACTCTTAAAGGAGAAGGTGAACTGAAGAATTTGGAGTTGGATGAAGAGGTGCTGCAGAATATGTTGGATTTGCCCACATGGCTTGCTATCAACAAAGTTTGTTGTAACAAAGCGTCCATTAGGGTGAGACTGATATCTGTATTTTCTTTTTCTCCTTAAAAGGAATATATTTCAACTAATTATTGTAATTAACATAATTTAGAAAAATTCCTTTATGTAAGCAGTTGTATGCCTGTACCTTTTGAAAGGGATAGAATTCATACAAGTGTACTTCACAAAATTTATTGAAAGTAAACATTATTTATAGTTTAATTGTATCCCAGACATTTTGAAATACCCCAATCACTTCTCAGCCTTTCGGCTAAGATCAAGTGTACATTTGGAAATACCCTTACCTATTACTGTTATTAACGTATGTATTTTAATTTTAACATTATTAATACTTTTCTAAATAAATTTTTAGTGTATTTTATTGTCATGAGATACTTTAAGTTTGCAGTGAGTAAATTACTCTATTTCAAATAAATACAGAAGAACTGTCTACTTTCATTTGAAATTTCTCTTTTCTTCATTTGTTTATTTCTCAGTTTGAAGTTTAAAAATTTCCTGTTTACTGTTATTATTATCCTAGTGACAGTATTGTTTGATTAAGGATGCCATTTATATCACATCTTGCTCTTCATTGTCATAGCTTGCAAGTCTACTCAGTGGAAATACTGTGTGCTACTTTGCTTCATAAAGTGAAGATATCGCCACTCAAGAAAAAGTTATAGAAAATTTTCCTATATTCTTTGGTAGTTTCCTTAAAAGGTCCTTTTTCAAAACTTTTTTTTTTCTGTATAAATGCAAATAACTACAAAGATATGACATTTTTAGTTCATTCATAGCATTTTGAATGTTATTTATTTGGTATTGCCTACATTTTATGTTAATGGACTCAAGTTTTGTATTTGGCTATATATAAAAACATTTTATGATTAAATAAATTATTAAACGAACAGAATATTGATTATACTTTGCTGGAAACTATTTAAATTATGAGACTGAACTATTTCAGGACTAAGAAAATAAAATACTTGAAGTTCCTGAGTTAAGGATAACTAAGAAAATAATAATTTTTTATATTTCTTATATAAAATGGATAACAGCCTGTTTTAAAATTGTAGAGGAGTCTCTCATTCTATTATTTATAATTTTAGAAGAATGCTGTGCAATACAATTTGATGTCTATCACTGTATTAAGATAATATTTATGTTGCATACTGTTTTCATTTTTGAAAAAAGTTACATGTTTTAAAGAAAAGTGTTTTTATTTGTAGATCCCGTGGACAAAATTGAAAACACATCCCATCTGTTTGGTGAGTTTTGAAGCAGCCTCAAAAATAAACATTTACATATATACATTATCTACTCTATTAATTTCTTTTTCCATGCAAATAATTTTCTGGATTTTCTATTAGTTATCTTTCACTTTATTTTGATATAACCTAATTTTCTCAGGCATTAAATGAGAAGTAAGTTCTTCAGGTCTAATATTAGGGTCTAAATAGATATATTACAAGATTAAATGCTTTATTGATATATTATGGGATTTTTCTTTTTTTTTAATAAACATTTTTATTTATTTGAAAGGGTTACAGAGAGAGAGGGATTTTAGAGAGATTTTTTCATCTGCCGGTTCACTCCTAAAATGGTCACAGTGGCCACAGCTGGGTCAAGCCAAAGCCAGGAGCCTGGTGCTTCTTGCAGTTCTCCCACATCTGTGCAGGGACCCAAGCCTCTGGAACATTGCTGCTGGCATGTTAGTAGGAACCTGGATTGGAAGAAGAGCACCCGGGTCTCAAAGTAGTGCCTGTGTGGGAGGGATACTGAGATTGCAAGCAGCAGCCTAAACTGTACCACAATGCTCTCCCCACTGGGGATTTTCTTTAATCTTGTCCTTCTACCTATCTAGTAAATTAAGTAGTGTGTTCCTGAGCATACAGGAGTTAAAGAGACAGAGCCAGCAAAGGGGAGTGCGAATTTCTGTCTGTTGGTTTACCCCCCAAGTGAGCATGCCTTGGCCAGGCTGAGGCCCAGATCTTTGTCCAGGTCTCCCACATGGGTACAGAGGCCAGTGCTTTCCAGTCACATTCCAGAGGCTGAGCGGGCAGTGAAGCAGCTGGGGTACAAACTACCACCAAAATGGGATAGCAGTGTTGCAGGAAGCAGCCTAATTTGCCAAGTTACAACACTGGTCCCCAAATATACTTTGCTTTTTAAGGAAAATGGATCACTTCATGATTTAGTGATTCATTCTTTCTACAGACACTTGTTCAGCACCTATATAGTTGCCTGAAGCAATGTGTATACTCTTACAATGAATAATTCAAAAAAATAAGACAAGATTGTTTTAGATAATAATAAATATATAAAAGAGGGCCCACCACAAAGGCCCAGCGGCTAAAGTCCTCGCCTTCAATGCGCTGGGATACCATACGGGCGCCGGTTTTAATCCCTGCAGCTCCACTTCCCATTCAGCTCCCTGCTTGTGGCCTGGGAAGGCGGTTGAGGATGGCCCAAAGCCTTGGGACCCTGCACCCATGTGGGACACCTGGAAGAGCTCCTGGCTCCTGGCCTCGGATTGGCTCAGCTCCAGCTGTTGCAGTCACTTGGAGAGTGATCCATATTACGGAAGATATTCCTCTCTGTCTCTCCTCCTCTTTGTACATCTGACTTTATGATAAAAATAAAATAAATCTTAAAATATATTATTTATATATTAAAAAATAGAGAAAGGAGAATGACTAGTTATGTTCAGCCAATAAGGGTGTAAGGTCTTTCCTCAAGAAAGATTATTCTGAAAAACAGCTTTTTACATTATGAGAGTGTTTATTTTTTCACACTTCCTGCTTACTTCAGTTTTCTTTCTCATATGTCAAAGCTCAGTTCTTAAATTGAATAAGGTGTTTAAGTTTTTAGAGTAGTCCAGTGCTATTAATATATCATCTTTTGACATTTATGTTTATTTTTATCTTCTTGAAAGGCAAAACAAGAGCACATGCCTGTGTGCATATGCATGGAAAAGAGATATTTTGCTGATTTGCTCCCCAAATGGCTACAATAGCCAGGTTTGAAGCAATCCAGAGCCAAAAGACAAGAACTCTTTCTAACTTTCCTCCCTGGGTGATGGTGGCTAAAGGACTTGATGCATTATCTGCTGCCCCCTGGGATGCCTTAAGCAGGAAGCTGGGTCAGAAGCAGAGTTGCCAGGACGTAAGCTGGCTCTCTAATATGAGATCCTGGCATTGCAAGCGGTAGCTTAATGCACTGTGCAATCGCTCCTGTCTTTATTATCATCTCATTTGTTCATTGCCAATATCACACATCTGAGATGAGAAATTCCATTTCCATGAAAATCTGATCATCTCAATAGTTAATGGATACTTCTTGATTTTAATGTTTAATTTTTATTTATTTTAAGTTCAGAGAAACAGAATCTTCCATCTGCTGATTCAATCCCAATATTCTTGCAGTAGCTGGTGGTGCTAAGTCAGGCTGAAGCTTGGCACGTGGAAGACAATCCAGTTTTCCCAAGTGGGTAGCAGAGATCCAAAAGTTGAACCGTTAGTGACTGCCTTCCAGGGTACACGTTAGCAGGCAGGTGCATCACAAGTGGGCTGGGACTCCACCCAGGCACTCTGACAAGGGGTGCAGGCGTTCCAAGTAGGTGGTGTCTCCAGTGCTGCCCCAAATATTTGCCCCTTCGTTTTGTTTTTTGTTTTGTTTTGTTTTTCTTCTATTTTCTTTGTTTAATACCAAAAGATAACAAATGCCTTGGGGGAAGACAGCACTTTTTTCCTTTTTCATATGTGTCTTTTTAGGCCTTAAAATAATAAACAACTGAAATGACTCCTCATTTACTGTTTTATTTTCATTTGTTCCTTAAGAAAAAAAAAAAAGAAATGAAAGCTAGAAGTCTTAAAAAATACTTTTGTAATTTAAGGAAAATATTTTACTGTTTAAGTATCTTTTTAAATATCTTTCTTAGACTTTGGATAAAGTAATAATGGAAATGAGTACATGTGAAGAACCACGAGCTCCTAACGGCCCATCCCCAATTGCAACTGCTTCAGGACAGAGGTAAGCTGTGTAGCTGTCACTGTGTGTGGTTTTCTTTCTTCTTGTTGCTGTTGTTGTTATTGTTATTGTTGTTTATTTGTTTTGTTTTGTTTTTTAAAATAGTTAACTCAGTTATTTTCAGTAATGAAACAGAAGGAAAATAGAATCCCTTATCCTCAAACTTTTTTTTTTACTTCAGTTATTGTCCCATTATACATTTTATAATGTTAGTTATATACATTGTGAAAATATCAGCTTCTTTTAATATTTTTTCTTTTCTTACTGTTAAATAACAGTAGATAACCAGGACAGAGCAGTAGCAAGCAAAGAGCTTTGGTACTCTGTAAGTCAGTTTCTTAGTCTTGAATATATAATCCCTTTGTTTTCCATGATTTTGCTTAGTGCAGTTTTAGTCTGTGCTCAAATATGATCCAAAAATACTTAATAGTTTGTACATTTTAAACTATATGTCTGTTCTGAGTGGCATGGTGAAATTTTGTGAATCGTCACTCCACTCTTCCAGGGATGTAAATCATTCATCTGCCCATTGTAACCACGCTGTAGATGCTGTTTTCCCATTAGTCACTTGGTAGAGTTCTGGCTTATCAGGTGGACTGTCATGTACCACAATGTATTTTATTCAAGCAGAAACCTTAATGAGCTCTAAGTCACAATGCCTGTCATTCACCACAGAGTATCTTATTGAGTAGCCATTGTATCATCTTATCACAAGAAGAAAGGTGAGTATAGTTCAGTAAAATATAATTAAACATTTTTTTACTTTTAGAAAGATTATTTATTTGAGTGGCAGAGTTACAGAGAGACAAAGATCAGTCCATTGGTTTCCCCCTCACATGTCTGTGTTTTCTGGGTCTGGACCAAGTGGAAATCTGGGTCTGCATATGGATGGTAGGGTACAAGTAATTGAGCCATCTCCTGCTGCTTTTCACAGGCTGATAACAGGGAGCTAGATATGAAGTGAAGCAGTTGGGACACACCAGTGGCTATATGGGATGGCAGCATCCCAGGCAATGGCTGTACCCGCTATGCCACAATGCTAGCCCCCACATTTTTACTTTTTATTTTTATTTTAAAGATAGAGATCTTTTATTTTAAAAAGGGGGTTATTTATTTATTGGAACATTGGAATTACAGGAAGAGAGTCAAAGAGCTCTTACAGCCACTGGTTCACTCTCCAGTGCTGAGCCAGGCTGAAGCCAGAAGCCAGGAACTTCTTCCAGGTCTCATGTGGTTAACAGGCAATCATATCCCTCGGCCACCTGCTGCTTTTTCCTGGCTGTAAGTTAGAAGCCGGATTGGAAGCAGAGCAGCTGGGACATGAACTGACATCCATATGAGACACTGATATTGCTGGTGGCACCGGCCTGAAGACACAACTCTTGTATCCCTGGTTCCCATAACCCATATGCCTGCAACAGCTGGGACTGGGCCAGCTGAAGCCAGCAGCCTGAAACTCAAGGCAGAAATCCCAAGTAGGTAGCAGGGGCCCAATTACTTAACCATTGGTGGCTACCTCCTAGAGTACATTAGAGAATTAGAAGTAGAGCTGTGATGTGAATCCAGGCATCTGACGTGGGATGCAGCTATCCCCAGCAGTGCCTTACCTACTGCACCAAATGCCCAAACCCAGTGAAATATATTTTTTTAAAGATGTATTTATTTGACAGGTAGAATTAAAGATAGAGACAGACCATGATCTTCTATCTGCCTGTTGGCTCCCCAAATGATTGCAATGGTTATTGCTGGACTGAGCCAAAGCCAGGAGCCAGGAACTTGTGGCGCTTCTAGTGGGTGAAGGGGTCCAAGCAACTGGGATGTCTTTTGCTGCTTTCCCAGGTTCCTTAGCAGCGAGCTGAGTCAAGAGTGTAGTACCTGGGGCCCGGCGCGGTGGCGCAAGTAGTTAAGGTCCTCGCCTTGCACGCCCGGGATCCCATATGGGCGCCGCTTCTATCCCAGCAGCCCCGCTTCCCTTCCAGCTCCCTGCCTGTGGCCCAGGAAAGCAGCAGTCTAGGACGGCCCAAAGCTTTAGGACCCTGCACCCGTGTGGGAGACCTGGAAGAGGCTCCTGGCTTTGGATTGGCATAGCATCAGCCGTTGCGCTTACTTGGGGAGTGAATCATCGGACAGAAAATCTTCTTCTTTGTCTCTCCTCTCTGTATATCCGCCTTTCCAATAAAAAAAAAATAATAATAAAAATAAATCTTTAAAAAAAAAAAGAGTGTAGTACCTGGGACTCAGACCAGCATCCCTATGGGTGGGACACTGGCACTGCAGGCAGGTTTACCCTATATGTCACAGCACTGCTCCCTCCCCCTCCCCCTAGTGCAATATTCTGAAATAGAGAGAGAGAGAGAGAGAGAGAGAGACCACGTTTGCACAGCTTGTATTACAAAACTGTTTATATATGATAAGTGCATAGAGTAGTACTACTGTGTTTCAGGCTTCCACCCGAGATCTTACAATGTTTCCCTTTCAGATGAGAAGGAACTACCATAATTTCTTTGCATGTCATTTCCTGTACATCAATAGAACTTTTGTGACTTTCAAGATTTGGATTGATTGATGCCATAATTAATTGAAGTCTGTTTGGATTATCCTAAAATTCAATATAAAATGTTAGCACTTCCCACAGGTTGAATCTTGATAAATATTAGTAAAAAATAATAGTGGGCTATTTTATAAGGCTCGATTTTTGTCATTTCTTATTTATTTATTTTTATTTATATAAAAACACAGAAAGAGAACCTTCCCTTGGTTCATTCCTCAAATGCCTACCACAGCCAAAGATGGCCCAGGCCAAAGCTAGAAGCCAAAAAGTTGATCTAACTCTCCTACCTGATTAGGCAGGGACCCACCTGCAAATGTGTGTTTGCAAAAAGCCTAGATTAGGGGCCCGCTGCTGTGGCCTAGTGGCTGAAGTCCCTGCCTTGAATGTGCCCGGATCCCAAATGGGCGCCGATTCTAATCCTGGCCGCCCTGCTTCCCATCCAGTTCCCTGCTTGTGGCCTGGAAAAGCAGTCAAGGACGGCCCAAAGCATTGGGACCCTGCACCCGCGCGGGAGACCCGGAAGAGAATCTGGGCTCCTGGTTTCAGATCTAGAGTGCTGGCCGTTGTGGTCACTTGGGGAGTGAATCATCGGACAGAAGATCTTCCTCTCTGTCTCTTTTTCTCTCCGTATATCTGACTTTGTGATAAAAACAAATCTTCTAAAAAAAATAAAAATAAAAGGCTGAGATTAGGAACAGAACCGGAACTTGGGCTGCAGTATGGGACAGGAGTATACCAAGGAACGTTTTAATGACTGCGTCCAGTGCCTGACCCATAAAACTTTCTTGAAAAGTTAGAATAATACTTTATGAAATTTGCTTGTTTTTGTAATCCCTGGATCATATATCATTTTCTTAATGATTGATGCCTTTATTATGTCTAGATCAGTTAAGAATGATCTCATGTGTTTTAATGTGATTGGTACCACCTCAAGTTGTGTGCCACATGACTCTGTACATCCATAATATCCTAGATGCTTTGTAAAAACTACTAGTAAAACGTCTCAAGGGTGAATATCTAATGTGCATACACTCACACTCAGTCATGTACTCCTCTTTCACGAAGATTAATGCACACATGTGTTCATGTGTCGTATGAAAATGCCCGTATTTAACCAGTCACTTTCTACATGGAAAAATAATGATGTTCCATCCTGTTCTTAGGAGTTGACTAAAACCTGTGTTTATCCGGTAAACAGTTTATGTTTGGGCTACAGGTAATGATGAACTTGAAAATGATATTCCACATTAACTTTGCAGTTTATGCAAAATCTACTAGTTGATTTTTAAAAAATTTTCCTTGTTTTATTTGTGAGACAGAAAAAGCTCCTACCCACTGGTTCTCTTCCCAGTTGCCTGCAAAGGTTAAAGAGGCTGAAGCTGGCAAGCTATGGCTATCAGTGTCTGAGTTGTAGCTACCCTTGTGGGAGACATGATATGGTCCCTGGGTCCTGGGTCCCTGGGTCCCTGGGTCCCTGGGTCTCTGGGTCCTGGGTCCTGGCTTCGACCCCCCCCCCCCCCCCCGCATTGTTGTGGACATATTCTCTCTTTCCTGTCTTTCAAATAAAATAAAATAAAATTTAAGAACATTAAAAGAGGAAAAGAGAACTAATAAGAAGGAAGGAGTTTTAAAAATTAAATATTGCAGAAGTGAACCATTTTGTCAATGTATGCTTAGTGTGTTTGGTAATATTCTTCCTAACTTATATTTGTTGTCATATTAGCAAGCTTTTAAATTTTGGCTTTGGAGTCATAGTAATTCTTGAATTTTTACAAATGATGATATGGTTAATCTATTTCATGTGTTCCAGAATTGGTCCAAGTTTACTGTTTTGAGTGATTACTGACACACAGTCTTTTAAGCTACTTCTCTTAAAATTATAATCAGTAGGTCTGGAATGGATATCGAGAATTTGAATATGGAGTAGGCACTTGGCCGAGCGGTTCAGCTGCCGAGGTCTGTGGTCTATATTTGAGTGCCTGAGTTTAATAACTGATTCTGGTTCTTACTCCAGCTTCTTGTTCATGCAGACTCTGGGAAGTGCTGGTGATATCTCAAGTAATTGGGTTCCTGCCACTCGTGTGGGAGATGGGGATTGAGTTTCCAGCTCCTGCCTTTTTTCCCAGGGCAGCCCCAGTCGTGGTGGACAGTTGGGATCTGTCTCTCTTGCTGCGTCTCCCATGAGGGATTTTGGGGGGTACAAGCACTTGGTGTGTCATTCATCATTTTGTTACTGTTAGGCTGGGTCAGAGGCAGAGTAGCAGGACTTAGAGCAGCGTTCTGCACGGGTTGGTAGCATCACAAGCAGTGGCTTCACTTGCTGCACTGTGGTGCCACCTCACGTAGGGAGATACACTCCTGAGAAGGTGATCAAATTAAAAAAAAAACAAAAAAACACCTTAATTGTAAAATATAATTCCATATTTCTAGCAGGATTTCAGTAGAACCTTAAAAACATAGGCTATAGTCATTGATTCTTCTTTAATTGGTTGGTCCTCCAATATATGTGTTATAACATTTTACTTTTTTTTTTCTTAAAGATACATATATATTTTTATTTTATTTAAAAGGCAGGCCATGAGGAGAAGAGTTGTTCCATCCTGCTGGTTCACTTTCCAAATGACTGCAGTGCTGAGGCTGAAGCCCAGAGCCAGAATGGCATCCTGGTCTCTGTGTGACTATCAGGGACCCAAGGACGGTTGAAACACCACTGCCTTTCCAGGCAAGCCAGCAGGGGGCTGTCTAGAGTTAGAACAGATGGAGTTATTCCTAAGGTTCCCTCAGGTGATTGCGATGGAAATATTCTTTTTAGCCACAAGAATATTTCTATATTGAGTGACCTTGCTATATTGAGTACTTGCTCTTTGGATCAAATCAGCTGTTCTCTAGGATGAAGACGAATTCTTGTTCTTCATTTCTCAATTTTCTAAACTTAGTAGTTGACCACTTCATTTTATACCGCTTCATTTTATGCCAGATGTACCTCAGCAAACCAGGGAGTTTGTAAGTTTCTATACCTACATCAATTCATTTAAGCACTACAGCAGCCTTTTCAGACAGGTGTAGTTTTTGATTTCTAAGTGAAGAAACAAATTTTACATAGTTTGCTGATAATTATAAGGGTATTTTTATTTTATTATGAGTGATGCTTATATTTTAGAAAGTGTCATGAATTAAGACTTCATTTACTTGGCTCATTTGCACATTTTATGAGGTATTACCCCATTTGAAAGATGAATTTTCTGAGGCTTAGAAAGTAGAAATAATTGATGCATTCACTAAGATAGTACACACACACACACACACACACAGACACAGAAACAGCAGATGTAGAAGAGGGACATGGGTGATGTATTCATTTTACATGTAGTGGATTTCAAATGCGTGAAAAACAGCTGGGTAAAAATATCTGATAGGCATTTTAATTATACAATTTGAAGTTCCAACAAGACATCTGCTTAGGTGTATAAATTTAGAAATAATGGACATTTAGGCAAGCTTCTACCATTCTTGCTACCAAATTACAACGATAGTGTACTGTATTCCAATCATCCTTTACTACTCGTCAAAATGTGACCTCTGCTTCCCAGACCTGACCCTCACAGATGCTGACAGGCGCTGATGTGGCCTTATCCAACCTGGTCCAGCCCTGGTTCTTGTGCTCATCAGCAATAAGTACAGCCTAACAGGAGAGTGCCCACAGTTTCCCTGCCTTGCATATTCTCAGCCCCTAAGCTGTGTCTGCCAGGGGGTACTATGGTCTTGTGTGACATGAATCACACCCCGTCCCAGCACTTACCAGCTGGTACTGTGGCCTAGCTTGGCTGGCCTGCACCCATTCTGCCTCTCATGAATACCAATAGGTATAGCAATCTAGCTTGTCCCCAGAGCAATCTACCTGTAGGACCAACTCTCACGCTCACCAATGGAAGCAGCAACCCAGCAAGGGAATCCCCAGAAGTCCCCAACCAAGTCCACTGCCAGCCCTGGGTTTTGTGTTTGCCAGTGGGTACTGCAGCCCAGTCTGAGATGACCCATGCTCAAATGTTACAGCCTGGTTCAGCCAGCTCCCTCCCCCCCTTCCCCCCCCCCCCCCATTAGCACTGGTCTACCCCCAGTTCTCATGTAAATTGGTGAAAGTTGTGGCCTAACCTGGCCTGGCCTGCACCCTGTCCTGGCTCTAATTTATGCCAGTGTGTGTGCTATGGACTGACCCTGCCTTTCCCAGATCCAGCTTATACATGTGCCAACAGGTGTTAGAGGCCAGCTTGGTCTAGCCTGCTCCCATCTCTGGCTCTTATGCTGTCTTGCAGAAACTGTGCCTAGCAGGAGAGTCCCCCCGAAGTTCCCCTACTAGGTCCACTCCCAGCAGTGGGTCTCATGTGTACCATCAGGTGTTGCTGCCCAGACTGATGGCTGGCTTCTTATCTTCTCATCCAAGCAGTAGATACTGCAGCCTGTTCTGACTGTCCCATTCTGATTCTCACCAGTGGGTGCTGCAGCCTATCTGAGCCTGGTTCACCCCCAGACCTGGCTGTCATGTGATCTGGTGAGTGCTGCAGCCTACACTCATTCTAACTTCCATGAGCACTAGTGGATACTGGATCCCAGCCAAGTTTGGCTCACCTCCAGACCAAGCCCACACACATGCTGATGGTGTGCTGTGACCTTGCCTAACCTGGTCCACCCACAGCCGTGGCACTCATGCTTACCAGTGGGAGATGCAGCCCAGCAGGGGAGTCCCCAGAATTGTCTTGCCAGGACCGTTCCCAGCCCTGAGTGTTGAGTGTGCTGGCAGATACTTTGACTCAGCCTGGCATGGCCTGCCTACAGTCTCAACTCTGGCTGGCAGGTGTTGCAGCCTAGCCCAGCCGGGCACTCCTCACACTCTGTTCTGGTTTTTGTATGTGCCAGCAAGTGCTAAGGTCTGTTTCAGTCTGCCCTGTCTTCATATCTGGGCCACATAATTGCTGATAAAGCTGCAGTCTTGCCTGGTCTGGCCTGCTCCCAGCCTTAGAGGGCGCTGTGGAGTAGTAGGGGGAATTCCTAAGTTCCCCTGCAGGCCTACTCCCAGCCTTAGCCCTGTGAGTTTTCATGTGGGTTCCTGTGAGTTCTGTGGTTCAGTCTGACTTGACCAGTCCCCACCCCAGCTCTTCACATAAACAGCAGGTGTTACAGTCCCAAAGAGATGAGTCCACAATCACCCTATAGAATCTACCCCGATATTCTGTTCTCTCACATTCTGGTGGGTGCTGCAGCCAAGCCTGCATGGTCTACCTCCTGTTCTTATGCCCACAGGAAGGTATTGGAGCCTATCCCAACCAGGCATGCCCCCTAGCCCCAGCTTTTGCATGTACCAGTAGGCAGTAGGCGATGCTGTTTAGCCTAGCCACCTGGCCTGACGCAGACATGCCTTCAGTTTCCCACCTCTAAACCATTCCATCTAAGCTCCCTTGACTACCTCCAAGTGCAGTGGCCTGGCCTGTGGAAGACCCCAGAAATCATTCCTTCCATGTCAAATTCCAACTTCCCCTCCAGCTCCAATATGTCCCCAGATGCTTTTCCTGGGCAATCTACAGCTCCCCCCAGCCCTCTGGGGGCACAGTGGCATATTTTGGCCCAGAGTTCCTTGCCTTTTACATGCACATGTAATAAACAAACAAACAAACAAATAAATGAGCAACTATACTGGCATACTGATACCGTTAACACAAATTTGGCACACCCAGCAGTTACTGGATGCTTTTCTCACAGCAGTGTAACACTTGCCTAGGTCCAAGGCAACCGAGGCAGTTATCTACAGTTGGGAAGTGATTTGATTGCTTGTTGAAAAGCACTTACAGACTGACTAATGTTACACTTAATAGGGATGTGTTTTCCTTCTCATGCTTTTGTGAGTACTGTCATGCTACTGTAACATTTTGGTTTTCTTTGTGTCCTGTTGCTGTTTACATGGATCGGTAAATACTTGTTGAATTAAGAATGTATTTTTCTTTTCTTTTTGCCTTATTCCTAAGATGCTTGTTTCTATTCCAATTAGACCCAGTAATCTTTGTTTTGGATATTTACTCCTTCTGTCCTTTAGAGTTGCCAGTTGTCCAGATTAATGCTTTTTGCAAGGAAAACAGCTGTGGACATTGATTTTAATAAAGTAGTTCAGAGAATAATTTCCAGTTTTAAAAATCTTTACAATCTTAGAACATTTTGGATATTTACTTATTTATTTGGAAGACAGAGTTATAGAAATAAAAGGAGAGATACAGAGAGTTTGCTCTCTACCAGCTTGTTCATTCTTCAAATGCTGGAACAGCCAGGCTGGGCCAGGCCAAAGTCCAGAGCCTAAAGCCCCGTGCACTTGTTCTGTGTGGGTGGCAAGAGCCTGACTGCTTTGGTCTTCATCTGCTGCTTTTTGTGCATGTTAGGGAACTGGGTAGAAAGTGGAGCAACTGAGACTCAAACCAGCACTCTTGGGTTGTGCGCATTGGAAGCAGCACTTAACCGCCTGGGCTATAAAACCTATACCTAGTACAGCATTTCTTTTTAACAAGACTAGATTATTGTTTTAGCAGAAAAACAAATTGGTTCTTTTAAAACAAAATTGGGTGATATAACATTATGACAGTCTATGCATGTATTTGTATGAGAATGTTAGTGTTAACAGATAAGCTTTTACGTTTTTTTTTCCTTTAGTGCATTATATATTTTTTGACTCTTTTTCCAGTGAATATGGCTTTGCTGAAAAAGTAGTTGAGGGAATTACTGTTTCTGTGAATTCCATTGTTATCAGAATTAGAGCAAAAGCTTTCAATGCATCCTTTGAACTTTCTCAGCTGCGGATTTATAGTGTAAATGCAAACTGGGAACATGGAGATTTAAGGTTTACTCGTATTCAAGACCAACAAAGAGGAGAGGTAAAGGTGTTTTAAAATACTTTATATTTTCAGTTGACAGATTATACATATTCTTGGAGTGCAGCAAGACATTTCAATTTATTTACTGTATAATTATCAGATAGGGGTAACTAGCATATCCATCACCTCAGACATTGATTGTTTCTTTGGTTTTCTTTCTTTCTTTCTTTTTTTAAATCTTTGTTTTAAATTTTTACAGAGCTTTTTAGAATAATTATGTCTTATTTGCCCAGATTAACATGTTTTTCGCTTCTTAACCATTTAATGATAAAATGTGCATATTTTAATATTTTTTATTTTAACAAATCAGTCCATAATTAACAAGCCATATTTTAGCTGCTTAACTACTCAGAATTGAATTTTAAATGTGCACAAGTAAAATATGTTGTTTAGCTGCTTTTTGGTTTTATAATTTATTTCACATTAAATTCCTTAGAATAAAAATATTAACTCTCCAAGTAATCAATAGAATGATAGTTATATAACTGAATTTTTAAGTATATATTTTTAATAATAAAAGCATGATAATATATACAGAATGTTATGAAAATTGAGACAGTGCATTTTTATTTACATGCATTTTAAGGTTACAGTTTTTCTCATTTTGCACGAGTAAGTGAAGCTAATCTCTGGATTCTCCTTAGGTTTTAACGTTTAAGGAAATAAATTGGCAAATGATTCGAATAGAAGCAGATGCTACCCAAAGTTCACATCTTGAAATTATGTGTGCTCCTGTTCGATTAATAACCAATCAGTCAAAAATCAGAGTGACACTTAAAAGAAGAGTAAGTCACCCAGATTGCGTTTGTGATTCATATATTCACTTTTGAAACTGATATGAAATTTTAAGTAATGTTGACATGTTACTATTGATGCATTAAAATGATGCAAAAGAAAGGATGATGCAATCCTTCAAGCAATATTTGTAGAAAGAGTAGCTAAAAGATTCCTCAGTATTTTAGATTTAATATTTGAATTTTCAAGGACTGGCTTTTCATAATTGAATAGATTTCTCAGTTGTTAAATATCTGTTGAGCATTTACCATGTTAGAATTTCATTTCTTATTTTGAATCTTGCTGACAAGAATAGCGAAGTGTTCATTGTTAGTAACCAAAACTGTTAGCTTTAATTAGAAATTAAGTTATGGATAATTTAGATGAATGGTGAAGCTAATTAGTTATGAATACTAGGTTGAAGATCTGTGGTTTGTAATAAAGTCTAGTAATGATCTCTTTGAAATATTTGTTACTGTAGTTCTATTAAATTCTTACAGTATATCTGTATTGAAAATTTTTTTTCATGGTGGTTTACACATATTCTGAAATGTGATTAAAATAGTATTAGTTTAATTAATTTTAACATGCTTTATTTCTAAAATGAGTAGAATTATTGCAGATAAGTATTTGCCAGTCTTAAGTGCAAAATTTAATTGTATAATTCTGTATAATTTGTAATTGTTAAAAAGTACAGAAATTTGTTACTATTGTTTCTCTAGCAATAGGAGATATTCCTTCTGTGATATAGGAGTGCAATTAAAATTTGTAGAGTGCAGTATCCATATTTAATTCCATTCAAAAACCTTGCACCTTTTTTATGTAACAAATACATTATAAGATCTATTGGCTTCATTTTGTAAATCTTTTTTTTTTCTTTTCTGACAGCTGAAGGACTGCAATGTCATAGCAACAAAGTTAGTTCTAATATTGGATGACTTATTATGGGTTTTAACCGATTCTCAGTTAAAGGCTATGGTACAATATGCAAAATCTCTCAGTGAAGCAATAGAAAAATCAACAGAGCAAAGGAAGAGTATGGCTCCTGAACCTGCACAGGTATGCTGTAAAATTAACAGAAGATTTACTTCACATGTAAATATGACAAATCTTATAAAAGTTCATTGAAAAGTCTTAATGATGAAAAAAACTAAACATGGATTTCAAAAAATTTTGCACAAAAGTAAACGTAGTTTTTAATTGTATGTTTTCAGAGGCTTTACAAAGTATCTTCATAGTTTAACAATCACAATGCTTAACTTGGTATTTTTTTTGTATATAATAGATTGTGATTGAGTCTAAGAACTTCCCTATGTCTCTTATTGACTGTATAATTTTATACGCATTCTGTCTACTTGAAAACATTAAATATAGTATTATGTGTCTACGTTGTACTTATCTTATTTGTAGTTACATAGCAGATACTAGATTATGGATAGCAAAATATGTGATATTAGAGCCAGCATTGGGTGTAATTGGTTAAGCTACGACCTGCAATACCAGCATCCCAGCAGCTCTGCTTCTGATCTAGCTTCCTTCTGGTGTGCCTGGAAGAGCAGTGGAAGATGGCCCAAGTGCTTGGCATATTCCTCCTGATGGGACTGTTTGGGGAGTGAACCAGCAGATAGAAGATCTCTTTCTGTGTCTTTCCCTTTCTTTCTCTGTAGTTCTGCCTTTTCAAATAGATAAATATTTAAAATGACATATATTTGGTGTTAAGAGCAGGCATTTAGTCTCTTGGTTAAGATGTCTGCATCCCAAATTGCAAGGCTTAGATTTGATTCTCAGCCCCGGCTCCCTGCTCCAGTTTCCCGCTGCTGCTGCAGAACCTGGGAGGCAGTGCGTGATGGCTCCAGGACTCCATGATTCCTTTCACTAAGAGACATGGCCTCTGAGCTCCCAGCTTCAACCTGGCCCACTCAGTCATGGTCATTATGCAGATTTGGAGAGTGAAGAAAGGTGGATAGGTTTGTCTATCTCTTTTTTTTCTGAATATTATTTTTTTAAAAAAGCATAATGTTATAATTTCTTTTTTCATCAAGTTAAAATGCATTTTCACACTGCTAAAGTAAAGGCAAATAGAATTGAAACCTGGGTAATAATGTTCAAGAGATAGATGAGAATTAATAATACATAGGACAAGAGCTGTGGAAAATTACTGAAGCTGAACACAAAACCTCTGTTACAGTTCTCCAGGGCAAAAGTGGGGGGAAACTAGGTTTAGATTATCAATTTTTAAGTCCTTCTCAGTATTAAACTCTGAATGCTAATGTGAGATTTTAATTTGTATGAAAAAAAGAATCACAGATAGAGAGAGAGAGAATCTGTTAGCCAAACTGAAAACAGAAACCTGTAATTGCATCTGGGTCTCTCACTTGGCGGCAGCAGCCCAAGCACTTGGACCATCTTGTAGTGCTTTCCCAAGAGCAGAATTGGAAAAGGAGCAGCTGGATGTTTTGAAGCCGCACTTGTGCGGTAAGCTGCCATCACAGGTTACCACCGGTATCTCAGCCTGCTGTGCCCTTTGCTATTTTCTTTATTGCCGGACAACTGCAGTGTGTAGTGTAGGAGAATTTTATAAAACGCTCAGTTTTTTTTAATGTCTATGCCTAATAAAAACATAGGATTAAAATTATACTTTTTGTAAAACTGTTTTGTTTGAAACAGTAATAATACATCTCAGATGTATAGGTTTTGGGTTGGTACTCATGCCTGGTACCTGAAAATGGCTCGGGTTCCAGTTTTTCAATGACTCTCAGATTGGCATTATTGCCTGCCTGCTGTGTTATAAAATGCATGATGTTAAAAGTAAATATTGTCTAAGTCTGTCCTCGAAGTTCTTAGACTGTGATGGGGAGTCAATTATAAAACAAATACATCAGCTCAGCATAAATAGCAGAGTGTTAAAAGAGGAGGTGTAGGAACTTTACAAGCACAGAGGTTACATTCTTTGTTTACAGCTTTTGGAAAGGTTTTACCAAGAGGAAAATCAAATTAAGTTGTGAAAATGGCCAGTGGTTCAGGGGATATGGAGTAAAGGAATTTCAGAAGAGAAAATAGAATCTGTGAAGGTATAGTGTTAAGGAACATGATATTTTCTGATAAAAATGAGTTTAGTGTTCCTAGAGAAGCATTTGTAGGAGTGAGATGAATAATATTTGTGTTGATATAATAAAACTGTTCACATTTTGTGTTTTAAAGGAAATTAAGTTTCACATAGTCCCCTTTAATGTGTACTCTTTTTTTAAACTTGACCTGGCTGATTGTGTGTTATAGTCCACATAGAGTCAGATTGGTTCTCCGTTTCTATACTTACTTTTACTCTGCCTTACAAATGAAGGACACTGATTCTCTGTGATGGGTTTGTCCAGGAAACAGGGACAAAGCAAAACAAAAACAAAACAAGACAAAACAAGGAAGCATGAAAATACTGCAGGAAAGAAGACTAAGAAATATGTCAGCGCTGACATGATATTAATGACTGTAATGACAAAGTGCCGAGTCAAGCAGTTTCCAGCTCTTTTGCTTTTAAGGAAAATCTGATGATTGTCAGCTGCTAGATGGTGTTAGAGAGGGAGACAGAGATTCTATATGTTGGTTCACTCTGCAAATGGCCACAATAAATATGAACCCATTGAGCCAAAGCCAGGAGCCTGGAAGGCCATCTTTCTCCAATGTGAGTGGTAGAAGCCCAGGCACTCAGGCCCTTTTCTACTCCCTTCCCGGACATTTTAGCAGGGAGCTGGATAAGAGTGGAGTAAAAATCAGTCCTCATGTGGAATGTATGTGTTACAGTTGGTAGCTTAGTGTGCTGTGTCACAACACCTGCCAAGGACTTGGTATTTTGTGTTAAGAGTATCCTGTTAGGCACAGCACAGTGGCTCAGTGGCTAACTCCCTAACTCCTTGTCTTGCAAGCTCAGGCATCCTGTATGGACACCAGTTTGTATCTTGGCTACAGCATTTCCTCTCTGATTCCCTGCTTGTGGCCTGGAAAGAGTGCAGTGGAGGATAGCCCAGAACCTGGAGCCCTGCAGCTACATGGGAGACCCAGAAGAAGCTTCTGGCTCCTGGCTTCAGATCAGCTCAACTTCAGCCATTGTTGCCATTTGGGGAGTGAACCAGCGGATGGAATAGCTTTCTGTCTCTCCTTTTCTCTGTAAATCTCCCTTTCCAATAAATAAATAAATAAATACCCTGTGAATCCTAGGTTCTAACTTAAAGGAATCCAGAAAAAGATCATTTTGCTAAAACAAAACTCCGATACCTATTCATGTGAACAAGGTTTTCAAGAACTTAAATCTATAAAAGCAAATAGAGAATAGTGGATCTTGTGTTGTCTGTGTATTGTTGTACCAATAAATAGCAATATCTTCAGAATTGTTAAGGGGCCTGATTTCTAAAGTTCATCCAATAGTTTTCCTGAACAAATGACCTGTTTTGGACGTGATAGGTATTTTATTTGAGAAATATGTGCATTTTCCATTAAGTATCTCAGTGCCAAAGAAAGTAGAGGAGGACAGTCTTGAATTTTCTTTGTACAAATAAGGAAGCTTTCCTGCAGTACCAGTGTGATTACAGAAGTAGATAGGAAAAACATGAAAAGAAAGTCATTTTTCTGAAGGAGATCAATTTAATTTAATAGTTAAATGTAAAAGTTTTGCTTGAGCCCTAGAGTTTAAAGTTTACTGTATTTCTTGTTTCCAATTACTTTCTTCCTTTTGAAAAGGTTTTAAAAATTTATTTATTTGAAAGGCAAAGTATAACAGCAGGGTCTGGTTTAGACTGAAGCCAGGAACCAAGATTACTGTGCCTTCCACTTTTGTGGCAGAGACCTAGGCAGTTAGGCTGTTTCCCTCCGCTTCCCATGCGCATTAGGGAGCTGACTCAGAAATGGGGTAGCTGGGACTGGAACAGGCACTTGAATAAAGGGATGTGGTCATTTCAGGCACAGCTTACGTGCTGCTTCACAATGCTACTCTGAAACTCTGATCTTTCTAGTTCCTGTGGGTCCCGAATGTTCTCCTTGAGAGATTCTTATTTTTAGTCCCTTTAACAGTATAATTATAGTTCTTTTTCTTAAATTATTTATGTATATGTTTATTTAAAAGGCAGAATATCAGAGAGCAGGAGACAGATTCAGAAGTAGAGATTCCCCTTCTACTGGTTCACTCCCCAAATCAGAGGTCCAGGATCTGGACTGTCTTCTGCTGCTTTCCCAGGTGCATCAGCAGGAAGCCGAATGGCAGGTGGAGACCCAGGACTCAAACTGCTGCTTAGCGACAGTTAATTCTTAATAGATAGTAATTCATTTAAATACATATGCATTAAATAAATGTACTTTACTATCCCATGAATAGCTTCCTCTGAAAGTTAATTTTAAGTGGAATATTTAGTATTGGTTTTTATAATTACCAGGTTTTCAATGCAGTTTTGTACTATGAGTCAGATCATTTCACCATATATATGTATATATAGTCATCTTAATTTGTTAGAGGATCTTAAATTGCATTTACAACTCACCAATATTCCGTGGTTTTTCTCTTTAAAAAAAAATTTTTGAATTAACAATCTATTTGTTCCTTTTTCTTTTTGATATACAAATTTTTAGATATACAAATTTTTTTAAAAGATTTATTTTTATTATTTTTATTGTTGGAAAGGCGGATATACAGAGAGGAGAGACAGAGAAGATCTTCTGTCCGATGATTCACTCCCCAAGTGAGCGCAATGGCCCATGCTATGCCAATCCGAAGCCAGGAGCCTCTTCCGGGTCTCCCACGTGGGTGCAGGGTCCCAAAGCTTTGGGCCGTCCTCGACTGCTTTCCTGGGCCACAGGCAGGGAGCTGGAAGGGAAGCAGGGCTGCTGGGATACAACCGGCGCCCATATGGGATCCCGGGCGTGCAAGGCGAGGACCTTAACCACTGCACCACTGCGCCGGGCCCTAGATATACAAATTTAAAGGATACATCCCATTTCTTATCATGGCGGAATAACAGAATACTTAAAGTTCTAAATAATATTACCAGGGTTTTTTTTTTTTATGAAGAAGTGAATTATGTTCACAGGTTTTTATAACAGGGCCTACATTTATTTTGTTTTAATATCTAAAACAGAGTATTCATTATGGTTGATATATGTTTTCTAAAATTAAGAACCACAAATAAGTAAATGAAACTACTCATATAATTATTAAAACATATTGAGCTTGTATTCAAATTGTGCATCTGTGTCTAGTTTAAGATAATGTAGTTTTATTCTCTTGTAATTCAGAAAAAGATTTAGAGGCACTAAATTACTGATACAAAAGAACATATATACAGATATTTTTCCCGACTTTACTACCAAAATGCCTAATGTACATAAAATGTGAGACCTATAAATGGTAAAGTAATGTAATTTTGAATCCTTTTAGAGCTCTACAGTAACCCCAACTACCCAGCATGTAAAAACACCGCAGACTTCAAATGTTCCTGATGTAAATGATGCTATTGTAAAATTGTTCAATGACTTTGATGTTAAGGAAACCTCGCATCATCTAGTGATCTCTCATTTGGATCTACATATATGTGATGACATTCATGCTAAAGAAAAAGGTAATAAAATCTGCTAAGTTCAGGTTATTTTGTTTCTTGTAGAAATTGTTTATTGGATTGTATTATGTTGTGTGTACCATAAGAAAACTTGTTAGTTCTGTCGTTTAAGTGAATATACTGCTTTCCTAGTTCACAGGCAGATAGCTGGATTGAAAATGAAGCAGCCAGGACACGAACCAGCACCCGTATGAGATCCAAGACCTTGAAGGGGGAGAATCAGCTTGCTGTGCCACTGCACCTGCCCCAGTTTATATTTTTCTCTAACTGATGTACTCATGTGGCTTTCAAGTTTGATTTTTGTGCTGGAGTTATACCAAGTTCTTACCTGCTTTTGCTCACATTATAGTAAGGTGACCTTGAACAATTAACACAACCAGTTCGACTGACTTTCCTCATGGTTAGAGGCAAGATGAATAGTGAAATGGTTAGAAGTTTTTGGAGTTCAAATCCTAGCTCTGCCCTTAACTAGCTGCATGATCTTGGCCTATTTACTCCTTTGTTCCTCAGTTCATTGTTCGGAAAAAATAAAAATAAAAATAGTACCTGTCTCATGTGGTCATTATGAAAATCAAGTAAGTATATCTGAAGTAGGTAAAAGAATTACTGCTATGTGAGTAGGCCTGAAGTACGAAGGTTCTACTGTTACATTCTGTGAACTCTCAGGACAGGGAATGTAGTATTTTTACATGCTTTACCATTAGTCCAGTGCCATGCAGATAATAGGTGTTCACCAAACACATTGCATTGTTTCCTAAAATTCTTACTATTATTATAGCTGATAAAAGAGAGATGCTGAATCGTTTCTTTTAATAAATTGTTTCAAATGTTTACTTAATTTTTCCTCTTTTGTTCTCTTAATCTCATTATTTTTATTTTCCAGACTCAAATAGGCGTATCACTGGTGGTGCTATGCAGCTCTCTTTTACCCAGCTAACCATAGATTATTATCCTTACCATAAAGCAGGTATGTAGAGCAAATTTTAAAAAACATTTGTGACTTTAATATTACATAGCCAGTTTATTTTTTAAATTTGTCAAGGAGAAAAGAGATCAAAAGATCTTTTAATTTTAATAAGATTTGTTAATTTCCCTCTAAGGGTCTAGTTTTATTTTGCCAAGAAAATAGGATTGTCGTGGAAGTTAATTTATGTATTTCATATCAAAATTCAGGTAGATTACTAGAAAATGTAATTGCTAAAAATTGACCGTTTTCGAAGTGATTAAAGTTTTAAGAAAATCAGCAAACATGTATTTGCACTATTTTGTTGAAATAAAAATTCATTAGTATGTTTTGAATTTTTAAATGATATATTTAAGAATCAGGAAAGAGAATAAAGCAAAGGATAATTACTGAATTCTAGCAAATTTTTTGTGTGGTGGTTTTGTTTTGTTTTCTTTATTTTCTAAATTTTAGCAATAAGATTTAATAGGTTCCTTAGAGATCAAATATTAATAGGCTGCTTTCTCCTATATAATAACGTAAAAACTGTGGGATCCTTTTTGGCCAAGTTAAGTAATTCAGCCTTCTACCCAGCTGCTTTTTACTGTTGTGTGGGGTTTTGTTTTTACACAGATAAGAGGTCAACAAAAAATATTTTAAACTGGTTAAAAAAATTTTTGTATTCGTGCATTTCACCTACCATTGTTTGTCATTTCTTGTCAGTACCTGACAGAATTTGAAGGTTATGCATTTGGTTTTAGTTCTCTATCTTATATCCTATCTTCCTGATTTGTGAGTTACGTATGTATATTTAAAACTTTTAATTGTACAGAGTGTTCATATTTGTGCAGATAAAATTTTTAGACATGGAATTGATTTTATTTTCTTAGTATTTTTCATGAACCTAGTAGATAGCAAAACCAATGAAATTCATTCATTTATTCAGTCAACTAGAGAGATGCAAAGCCCCCATCTGCTGATCTTCTCCCCAAAACCAACTACTAGGGCTGGACCAGGCCACAACTAAAATTTAGAAACTCAACTCCTGTTTTCCACATGAGTGCCCAAGTCCTAACTGCTTGAGCTACCACCTGCTATCTCCTGGAGTGACCGGTATCAGACATCTGTAATCGGAAGCGTAGCCAGGCTTAAGCCCATTTCCTTTTCTACGGACTGTGGACATCCCAAGTGTGTGTCAGCCCATAAGTTTGGGTTCTTGATATCACCCTGTCTAGACATTTGCTTTTCACACTTTACTTCTCTCTAAATGTGCTGTTCACATTCCAGACTAATAAAGTCTTTCCTTAGAAAAATGACTAAATTTTGTTGGAAACATTGCTATAGTGAAATAAATGAAAATTGTGTACTTTATCTTTTATTTGTTTTATAGGAGATAGTTGTACTCATTGGATGTATTTTAGTGATGCAACCAAAACAAAAAATGGATGGGCCAACGAGTTGCTACATGAATTTGAGTGTAATGTTGAAATGCTTAAACAGGCTGTGAAGGATCATAACGTAGGCTCACCTCCTAAATCTCCAACACATGGCTCTCCCCAGCACACACAAACAGGTATTTTACTTATAACAACATTGTGGCATTCTCCAAGGAGATGGAGAGAGAGAGAGAGAGAGAGAGAGAGAGAGAGAGAGAGAGAGAGAGAAAGATCATAATGAATTTCCTGTTAATAAGTAGTGCTTTTGAAAAAAAAAAATGTTTTTTTCCATACACTTGATGAGAGTGGGAGAAAGAGAGATTGGCTGAATTTCAGTTTGCTGGTTCACTCCTTAAATATTCACAACAGCCAAGGCTGGGCCTCATCAAAGCCAGTAGCTTGCAGCTTTATCCAAACCTACTGCATGAGTGGCCAGGACCCAAGCACTTGAGCACACACCTGCTGCTTGCTGTGGTTCAATAGCTGGAAACTGGCCTAGCCATTAACTGGCTGTTCAGTGTAAAATGAAGATGTCCTAAGCTGTGGCATACCCTACTGTACCACAATGCCTATTCTAAGAAGTATTACTTTTAGTTAATATTTAAAAACTCTGTTACCTTTATTCAGACCCACGTAGATTGTGAGTCAAAATACTTTTATGAGATATGAACAAAAATAAGATGTTCAGGTCAAATTTATAAAATATTTCCACATGTTATCTTGTTCGAATAAATGTCTTCATCTGCATTTGTACTGGTTCTCTCAAAAATAAAAGCATGACTGCTAAAAAGTGATTTTTAATGAATCTAAAGGAGTTTTGTTTCCGCAGAGAAGGATTCCACTGTGAAGGGAACTTCCAGAACACCTTCAGTATTATCTCAACAATCCAAAGCTAAGCTAATGTCTAGTTCAGTTGTGGTTAGACTTGCAGATTTCAATATCTATCAGGTATGTTTTGATTTCTATGCTAACTTTCCTCAGTATCTCTTACAGACAACTCTAGTCACACACACCACACTTTTGTTTAGAAATAGCTTCATCAGGTGGGATGGGAGAAGGCAGTTCAGATGAGATCAGGTGCATGTGAGTTGAATTAACAGTTTTTGACTTGGTTATTGTTTATACTCCTTGTGTATATTTCTGATCTTTTCTACTTATTGAACTCTGTTTAGTGGAACATTAAACTTTTGAGTACAATGCAAACTAAGAAGTTGCTTTCATTAAAAAAAAAAAAAAGTGAGTTCAACACAATTGACTAATCCTTAGCTTGCAAGTGTGAGGATCCAAATGGGTGCCAGTTTGTGTCCTGGCTGCTCCACTTCCCATCCAGCTCCCTGCTATGACCTGGGAAGTAGCAGAGGATGTCCCAAAGCATTGAGACCCTACACCCATATGTGGGAGACGCAGGAGAAGCTACTGCCTTCTGACTTCTTTTTGCTCAGCTCTAGCTGTTGTGGCCACTTGGGGAGGGAGCCAATGGATGGAATAGCTTTTGGTCTCTTTCTCTCTGTAAATATCTGCCTTTCCAATTAAAATAAGAAAAAAGAAGAAGAAAAGATAAGGGGAACCTTTTTTATCCTACAAAGAGCCATTTGTATATTTACATACAAAATAAGTTGAAAACAAAACTGCTGTAGATTTGTTGAATGTCATTGTGCTTGCAGTTGCCTTAGCAAGTTCAGACCAAGTAATTTTACTTGGTGTAACCAGTGGACTGGACATTCCCACTCCTGGTTTATATGGTTACCCTTAAAACTCTAAAGCCAGGGGCAGAAGGCCTGGTGCATTAGGCTACCTTTGCTGCCCAAGAAATCTGACACCTTTTGCAAGTTCTACAGATTTTCAGATTGCCGTTAAAATATATTAGAAAGACTCACAGAACTTACTGATACCTGTTATAGTCACTTTTATTACAGGAAAATAATGCGAATTAAAACCAGCCATTGGAAGGGGATGCATAGAGCTTAGAGTGGAGGGATTCCAAAGGTGATGCACGTCTACTGGCCATGTTAGTTTCCAGTGGTGGATATGTAGCAATGTGCAGAAGCAGTACATTGAGAGTGAGTCAGTCTTTAGCCAGCCTGATCCCTAATAACCCTTACCTTCCTTTTCTGTGTATAATGAAGATTATAAAATATGGCCAGTCCTTTCTTGAGTTATGTTGGTATGTAATCAGTTGTGGTCCCAGGGCTCACTATGGAAAGGAAATGCTTCCTTTCCAGAAACAGAGACAAAATTTGGAGACAAAATTCTTTACTATACAGTGGTCTCTGTGGAATAACCTGAAATGCCTTTTTTTTTTTTTTACCAAATTTCCAAGAATTTGCAATAACATGAACATAATTTTATGTGAAGAACTCTATCACACTTACGATAGCAGTCTTATAGAGAGTATAGTCACACAACATGATCTTACATTACAGTCATTGATAACAACAAAATGGAACATATTTATAGAATTTAAGCATGAAATAAATGACTATAATGTATTGTCAGTTATGAATTATTTTGGTTTATTCTGATGAGCTTATGACTAAGAGATGTAGTTTTGTTGGAAAAGCTTTAATTTTAGTTTGGTTGTTAAAACTGGAGCCAGGATTGTTTCTCAGTGAAGTTAGGAAATGGATTAAGACACGTGAAGAAAGGAATGCTGCTGACTTCAGGTAGAGCGTGATTCTGTGAGACATCCTGCATGTGCTCAACTCCCAGAGTGATTATGCAGCCCAAAATAATAATACGGTTTTGAGAAACCTTAATTTAACCATTCTTTTCTCATTGTGTATTTGGGTTTTTTTTTTAATTCTATGATAAGGAGGTTATTTAAAGGACATTTTCAATTTTTTTAATTTAAATAATGCCTATGGAAATAAGGGAGGAAAATCTTCAGTAATTCCAAGTGGACGGGCGTAAAACACAGATAAGAACCTTCACATACACAGAAGTAAGATAAACAGAAGAGTAAGTCAAGATATAATATTTATCCCATTTTGAATGTCTTAAGTATTAAAGGGAAAATGAAATAACTTGTTCGTTAAATTAAAAAGTTTTACTTCTGTATGTGTGAAGAAATGCTTTTTAGTTAGATAATATAAGGAATTGACAGACTTGTTAGAGTACAAATAATCAAAAGGTTTGATTCATCAATTTATACAAAAGGAAAACAAAGTAAACCTTTGAAAAATGTATTCCATTTCTTATAAGAAACATGCACGTTTGTTGAATGGATTAATACAGTATTTTGAGTTGCATCCCTTGGCTACTGAATGAGTATAAATAAATGCAACTGATAAACTTTGTTGAACTTTGGGGAAAATTAGTTGGGGAGAGAATGAAAATACATAATCATAGTAGTGCCTTTGGAAAAATAGCTGAAGATATCAAATTATTGGACCAAACTTAGTATGGTTACATTATTTTGAATTAATTATTTTATGATAAAATAAGGCAAAATATAATATTACTTTTAAATGTGTAAGTCATTGGCAGTAATTACATCTAAATTCAGAATTTGCTATTTTTTGCTAAAATAGAGGAATTGTAAGCAGTTTTAGTGTAAGGAGCATACTGGGAAAATTCAGGTACTCAGGATTCGGGTCTGTATTTTGACCCTACCAGTGTTTACCTGTTATAATCCAATGATCATTGTTTTTCTGTCAATGTAAGCCTCAAAGTATAAGTTTTCAGTGAATGTTGTACAAAAGTTGATTTTGTAATTGCGAAGGACCTGGAAAGGTTATTGAGTTTTCTGAATAATTGCTACATGTTATTTTAAAATAACTTAATGTGAAATAAAATATGTGATCAAGTTTGCATTGTGAATTAACCACTTAAATTATTTTAGGTAGCTTTATGAGAACTTGATGTGATATTGAAATTCCAGAAATTCTTTGGGAAGAGCTTTGCTCAGTATTATTTCAATAAATTTGATCATTTTCCCAGGTCTCTACAGCGGAACAGTGTCGCTCTTCCCCAAAAAGTATGGTTTCCTGCAATAAAAAATCCCTTTATCTTCCACAAGAGATGTCAGCTGTTTATATAGAATTCACAGAATATTACTATCCAGATGGAAAAGATTTTCCCAGTAAGAAAGTTTTGTTATTATTTGTTCAGGTTTTCGAGAGTTTTGTTTCTTGCTAAATTTTGTCTTATTGTGAAAAAAGAACTACTGTCTGTTTTTCTTTCCTGAGCTCTTGTGTGTAGCATACAACTCCAATAGCATTTTTCTCTGATTTGTTCAGAATTTCTTGATGGCAATACTTTTGCAATTTTGTTGACTAGTTTTATCCTTAAGAATGTTCTTGATGTTTGATTTTGTATGTGCTTTTTATTGCTTCTCGGTCTTTTGGCTAAGATCATGTGTGATTTTGTATGTGCTTATAGCATTTTTTAATATTTCTTTCTCGTAGTTATTTCCTAGCCTAAATTTTCCATTAAAATCACAGTTGAGTAAGAATGTTTATATAAAATAGGTTATGTTATTACAGGAGAAAAAATTGTGTCCTCTTTTTAAAAATGGAACTACAAAGCACTTAGACCTGGTCTGTCTCTTGTTTGAAGTTGGCTTGCTATGTAAGTCTTTAGTTTTGGAAAGAATGACTGTTTTTCTTGCATGTGAGTTTCCTTTGCATGTTCCTGCCTCTTATGTTAATTATATGAACATATCTGAGGTTTCCACAAGTTCATTTTAAGTGTCTTTCACAGCTGTATAGTGATATATTTCATAGGTAGACACTGTTGGAAAATAGTCCCTTTCTAGAAAGTTTGTTGGATTCTGTTTGAAGTCCCAGATCTGCCACCAGGGTTTTCTGTCTGTGCATCAGCCTTGGGAAAATACAGTGTTCTTCGTGATTTCCTGTCGTGATTCAGTCTATAAATTCGGATCCCCTCCCCTTCTTTCCCAGAGAGGGAGGCCATCTCACTGCCCACCCCCTTTCCTTTCCCACAAACACACATCTGCACTTCGTAATTGAGTGTGTCTGGCACACCTGAATGGTAACATTTGCTTTCCTACCTGTCTCATGTAGTGCATTATGAATATTTTAAAGGAATGGGATCATGTTTCTTTGGGTATTTTTTGTGATTAACGTAATATACAGTTTATAGTTGATATTCAATGGATCTTTACCAACAAAAGTGAATGAATTAATGAATGAGATAAGCAAGGAATCCACAGTCAGGACATGTACTCCCTTGCTGGTGCCTCACACCTTCAATGTATTTTCCTTACATTATGTTAGTGTAGAAGTTCTAAATATGCATATGTTTATCTTTGGTAGAAGTAATTATGTCCAGATTTTTAGAATAAATGATTTTCACCAAGATGGTCTGAAAATTAAATGGCTTTAGATATAGGAATATATGTGGATTTCAAGCAGTTATATACCCTGTAATTATAAATATTAGTTTATTTTAGAATAGCAATGGAAAAGGGTATAGAGGATTTAAGCTTTGCTTTCCCTCAGGTACTTTTCTCCAGGCCTTGATTCAGATGGAGAATAAAATGATGTGTAAACCCCCCTCTTGAGGAAACCTGCTAGACATTACAATTTTGTAATAATAAAGTGGCATATGCTTAGTTTTCTCTTTTAAGAGGTTGTAGATTAAAATTGCAATAGGAGAATCCTTTTAGAAAAATGTAATTGAGGATCAGAATTTGATGTGGTATTTCAAGAAGCTTATGTGTTTAGTTTACTTCTTAGTGATTATAACTTCAGGAAGAGAAACCTAAACTGTACTTGTTATTTATATAGTTTTAGTTTAAATATATATAATTTTAGGTTAGTGAAGTATAGAAAAATGTTGTTTCAACCTAAATCTGTGGTGTATTAGTCACATGTGTTACTCTAATTATGTACGTAAAATTTCAAATAGGTTAAGAAAAAATACAAGTTGTGGGAAGTGTGTTTTCTACTCTCCGAAAATATAGAACTATCTGTTCATTTAAATTTTTTAAACTTTTCTTTTTTTCTCTACAGTTCCATCTCCCAACCTGTATAGCCAGCTGAATGCACTACAGTTTACTGTGGATGAAAGAAGCATTCTGTGGTTAAATCAGTTTCTTTTGGATTTGAAGCAAAGTCTTAATCAGTTCATGGCTGTGTACAAACTGAATGACAATTCAAAATCTGATGAGCATGTTGATATTAGAGTTGATGGCTTAATGCTGAAGGTACCGTAAAAAAAAGTGACTTAAAACAAAACCATTTCATAGAAGCAAATCAAAAGTATAATGAATCCCAGAATATAAATCAGTTTTACTATAATCTTAATTTTGATTTTGAAACTTCAGGTTTAATTTTGAGGTACAAGTATTGTGTGCATTTGGGAAGTGAATCAACAAATGAAAGATACCTCTTCCTTGCTCTCTTTCAAATAAACACAAGTAAAAATTACTGAAAATAAAATACTTCTAAGGATTTCATTTGGTTATCAATTATATCATCTTTAGAAAGATGATTTCCTTGCTCATTTTAGTATTTCCTATGCTCCCCCAGACCCACTTTTTTTAAAAAAGAGGGATTTCTTTACTTCAGAAGATGTTCAGGGAAAGGGCAGTCTTGCATCTGCTGGTTCATTCTCAGATGGCTGCGGCAGAGAGCTCTGGACCAGATGGGAACAGGAACCAGGAGCTTCCTCCAAGTTTCCTTCAGGATTGGAAGGACTTGTCTATCCTCTGCTACTTCTCCAAGCCACTGAGAGAAACTGGGACTTGAACCACTGTTCTGGGGTGCAAGTGTTGTAGGGAACGGTTTTACTCACTGTGCCACTAACATTGGGTTCCATCTTTCCCCCTTCTTATTTATTTTCATTGATTTGGTGGTGAGCTGTAGAAGTAAAATTTAAATTGATAATTTTTAACATTTTACTTTTGAATATATTTTTCTTTTTGTTATCATAGTGATCACACATGCTTCTGAAGTATAATGTGATGCTTTCCTATTTGCTTAAAGGTTCATTTATTTTTATTTGAAGGGTAGATTTACAGAGATAGAAGGAGCTGGATCAGAGGTAGAGTAGGCCTTGCCCGTATAGGATGCCAGTGATGTGGGTACTAGCTTAACCTACAAGCCACAATGCCAATCCCATGACCTATCTTCTTAAGTTTATTTTTAAAATACCTTTCTTTCAGAAAGGCAATTCTAATTACATCTAGTCATTTCATTCAGTTTCCTAGCTAGGCTCCAAATCACTAACAAAACAACAGCAACAAAAATCCCTTTCTAGACTTGGTAGTTTCTTATGTATTCAGAAATAGTAAACATTTGAAAGTAATTATTTTGTGATTTGTTGTGTGTTTAAAAAAATCTGTTGAGTGCATTATTAGCCCATATGTTTTTAAAAGATTGTTTACTTTTTAGTGATCTATCATTTGGCTTCCTTTTTCTCAATTTATTAAAAAGATTTGGAGGGAAAGAGAAAATTTTATGTCCTGATAAGAAAGTCATATTTGGTCAAGGAATGGTAAGGAAAAAAAAGAATTCATGAACTAACTTGTTTTCTTGGTTATTTTTCCTTCACAATGTATAGATTTGTGAGACTGCATTTTTTCCCTTTTAGTTTGTCATTCCTTCTGAAATGAAATCTGGGTGTCATCAAGATCGGCCACGTGCCATTTCTATTCAGAGTTCTGAAATGATTGCCACAAATACAAGACATTGCCCCAACTGTCGGCATTCTGATCTGGAAGCTTTGTTTCAAAACTTCAAAGACTGTGATTTTTTTAGTAAAACGTATACTAGCTTCCCCAAATCTTGTGATAATTTCAATCTTCTACATCCGATCTTCCAGAGGCATGCTCATGAGCAAGACACCAAAATGCATGAAGTCTATAAAGGAAATATTCCTCCCAAATTGAATAAACACACCCTTAAAACTTCTGCTGCCACTGACGTGTGGGCTGTGCACTTTTCTCAGTTTTGGATAGATTATGAAGGCATGAAAAGTGGTAAAGGACGACCAGTAAGTTTCATAGACTCTTTTCCTCTCTCCATCTGGATTTGTCAACCAACAAAATATGCTGAGTCTCAAAAAGAGCGGCAGTTTTGTAATCAGGTGTCTCTGAACACATCCCAGAGTGAATCTAGTGATCTGTCTGGCCGATTAAAACGGAAAAAACTCTTGAAGGAATATTACAGTACAGAGTCTGAGCCCTTCACAAATGGAGGGCAGAATTCATCGGATACTTTTTTAAGATTTTCTTCTTCAGCGACAGATGCAGATATTCATATCTTGGTTCATGTTCATAAACATGTCAGTATGCAGATCAATCACTACCAGTACGTTTTCCTGCTTTTCCTCCATGAGTCACTTATTCTACTTACAGAGAATTTAAGGAATGATGTAGAAGCGGTGACTGGTAGTCCTGCTAGTCAGACATCCATTTGTATAGGAATTTTAGTTAGAAGTGCGGAACTGGCTCTGTTGCTACATCCAGTGGATCCAGCAAATGCTCTGAAGTCTCCTGTTTGTGAAAATGTGAGCCCAATGGTTCCTGATTATTTGCCTACAGAAAACGGAAAGTTTCTGTCTTCTAAAAGAAAACCAGTTAGTAGTAGCATAAGTCAGATAAGAAGTGTAACTGTTAATCATATGTCCGACAGTAGATCTCTGAGTGTTGACCTTAGCCATGTCCCTTTAAAGGATCCTTTGCTTTTTAAATCCGCCAGTGACACAAATCTGCAAAAAGGCACATCTTTTCTAGACTATTTATCAGATAAACATTTAGGGAAAATTAGTGAAGATGAAAGCACTGGACTTGCTTACAAAAGCAACTCGGGAGAGATTGCATCAGAAAGAAGTGACAGAAAGGACTCATCTTGTACCGATGTGAATAGTGTCTTAAACTACAGAGAAAGCTCAGATGTGCTGTCATTTGATAATGGTGGTAATCAAAACATCCTTTCAGATAATTTAACCAATAAAGGAAATGAAGCCATAGAATCAATTTTTAAAGCTGAAGATTTGTGTTCAGAAACATCTTCACTTGCTGAGAACTCAGAAATCAATAAGGAGGCATCTGCAGTCAGAACACTTAGATCACAGACATCTTTAAGGTAATAAATGCTGTGTGATTTTTCAATTTTTTTATTTAAATGAATACATGTAATTTATTTTGGGGGAAAAATGACAAGATGAGACGTTGTTAGAATTAGCACATGAAAGAAAATTTTGATGAAGAAACATTTTTGAACATGCATGTTAAAGTAATTTAGAAATGTGTGGGTGCATATTTTTCATTTGTTAGAACTGTCTTTTAGATAGAATTCTTCATATATAATAGTGTTCTACTAATTTTATTTTTGAACAGCGGAAAGCATAAGGAACGCTGTTCCCCCAGTCTGGCTCCACTCTCTGTTTCTTATAAGAACATGAAACGAAGTCCCTCCCAAGTCTCACTGGATAGCATTTCACTCGACAGCATGATCTTAGAAGAGCAGTTGTTAGAAAGTGATGGAAGTGATAGCCATATATTTTTGGAAAAAGGTAAAGCAAAACAGTTTACAAATTTGTATTATATGTAAATGTGTTTTATAAGAAAGTGATGTTGAAAAATTTTTAGCTATATTCAGTAATTAGCTAAATTCAATAATTGTTAATTATATTCCCCACAAAAGACTTACATACACTCACATGCACAAACTGAGATGCATATTATGTATATAAGAATACCTGACTAATTTCTCATTCCATTGCTTTTTTAAGCAAGTATTCTTGTCCCTTTATGGTTGCCATCCAGCAATTTGTACATAGTCGTTTATGTTACAAGAAAGTCAACTTTAACAGCTTCTGTTACAAGGACTAATGCATCTGAAAATGTGATGAAGTAGGCTTGCTTTACATGGTGGATTTCCAGTTGTTCGCTCTATGACTGTAATTTTTCTGGGCTGGAACTCATGATTCACAAACCCTGGTTCTTTCATATGTGTGATGTGGATGGGGAGAGCTAAGTGACTGTCTCAGTTTCATTCACAGGCAAACAGTACCCCATTGAAAACCGCTAGGGAAGACTAAAACTATTAGATACATTCCCTTTAAGACACTGGCAACTTTTTGAACAGAATGAAGTCCTGAGCTGTAATCAGAGAACAGTTGACATAGACACAAAAACATAGGAGACCAGAGACAAACACAGGTTATTTTCTCTTTGAAGGCAAAAAAGCCTAATAATTACCAGTATGTAGTTTGTAATGGCATACTAAATAGTCATATATAGTCATAGGTTCTACTTATTGTCAGACACTGTGTCAGTCCATTTTATGCTGCTATTACAGAATAACACAGACTAGGTCATTTATGAAGAACAGAAATGTATTTCTACAGTTTTGGAGGCTGAGAAAGCCTTCCGGTTAAGTTGGCATCCTTCAGAGGGGAAAATGCTGTGTCCTCACATGAAGCATAACGAAGAGGGCAGAGGAGGCCAGTGGAGTCTGTTTTGTAAGGGCCTTAGTCTTATTAGTTAAGGCCAAGTTCTTGATGGCTCAAAGGCCCCAAGTGTTGATGCCATTCCCTGGCAGCACCTAGAGGGTACACATTTAAACCAGATAGTTTACACTATTTAATTTGAACTACAAGTCTGTACTGGTATATAATATTTACTTAGCATATTTACTTTGTGTTGCTACTTTTTAACCCTCAACAACAATATCATCAGAGAACTGGTATCTTCTGAGAGCTTGTGTAACCCAAGGTACCACAGCTAGTAAGCAATTTAAATAGGGGTGTTCTGCACTAGAGTCTCTTGCAACATTCACTAGGTACTTACAAAGTTAGTTCCTATTACAAACACTTTATGTGTTTTATTTAATTGTCACTTGAATCTCGGGTAATAACTATTGTCTCTGCATTAACAGGAAAATAGAATCTAGGAAGGTTACACAGCTTGCCCAATTTAAACAGTAACATGAAGTAGCTATTGTTGATTCCTTTTCTATAGATTCAGAAACTGAGGTTTATCGAAATTAGGTGAAGTATCTTACCAAATGCTTTCCAGCAAGGGGATAATAGAGGCAGGTTTGCTAGTCTAAGATGTCCAAGGTGTGTGTGTGTGTGTGTGTATTTGAAAGGCAATGAGAGATCTTTTGTTTACTCACCAAATGCCCACAGTTAGCTGAAGTTCAGCCTGTGTAAATTCAGAACCCAGAAACCATTACAGATCTTTCTTGTGCGTATGGGGACCCAAGTGATTCAAGTATCCTCTGCTGCCTCCTAGCATACAGATTAACAGGAAGCCTTGGCACACACTCCAACTATACTCAGTTTATAAGCAGCTTGAAAATGAGTTGAAGGGATGATCTCTTTTGGTTAGGTAAGAGTAAGTCTGCGTGGGGCAGGTGTTGTGATAAAGCTGCTTTTTATGATGCCTACATCTCATGTCTTACATAGCTGGTTTGATCTCAGCTGCTCCCCCTCCCACCCAGCTTCCTGTTCATGCCCATTCTTGGGGGCAGCAGTGATGACTGAAGAGCTTGGGTCCCTGCCACTCCTGTAGAACACCTAGATGCAGTTCCTAGGCTCGAGCCTAGCTGAAGTCAACCCTGGCTGCTGTGAACATCTGGGCAATGAACCAGTAGGTGGAAGATCAATGTCTCTGTCTCTTCCACTCTGCCTTTGAAATAAAGAAAATTGTAGGACAATCAGAAATATATATGTTTATATGTGTGTATGTATATATTATTTTGAGGTAACATCTAGCACAGATTTTTGTTAGTTTGCTTTTATATTATTGTAGGAATTAAAAAAAACTCCACCCCAAATTACCAGAGCCCAGCAGAGAGTGTGAGCGCCAGTGCAAATCTACAGAATTATGGTGAAGTCTCTCCAGATGCCATCAGTACAAATTCAGAGGGTGCTCAGGAAACCCATGATGACCTGGTAATCATTTCAGGGGGATTCTGTGAAGAGAAATACCAGCAGCCTTATTTCATATTTGATATGTACACATATTAAGGCATTAATATAGAAAGTGAATTCTTAGATGGTGGGTGATTTACAATGCTGCTTCTCTTGAAAATGTTGTTTTCCACATAGATTTCAGTTAAGTTTCTCCACATTTTACTTTTCTAGGTTTGTCTTATTCGTAGTTGGGAAAAAAGTTCTTTTTCTGGAATATCTTCTGTTTTTTATTCCAGTTTCCTTTAAGTACTTGGCAAAACTAATGGCCAGGATGACCAAATGCAGGGCTGTCTATGGAGTAAAATAGGTTTCTGGTTTCTTTTAAGCTTTCCTGACCTAGTGAAATATTCTTACAGAACACTTTATGCCCACAATTGATCTTTGTTCTCTAAAATATTTTCTCTTTATTAAATGAAGACTCCGGTGCTTGTCACCTCAAATTGTGTATTGCTTACCCTACCACTGGCCAGAAATATTTGGGATTTCAGATTTTTTTTTTTAGTTTGGAATATTTGAGCACATGTAATGTAGTATCTTGGACATGTGATCCAATTCTAAGTGTCAGGGTTTTTTTTTATATTTTATACACAAAAATCACCCACATAGGCCTGTGTGATTTTATACAATATTATAAATAAGTGTGTGCATGAAACTGTCATGGTCGAGGATTTTCCAATTGTGGCATGTCATCTCTAAAAAAGTTTTGGATATTGTAGCATGTGGCATTTTAAATTAGGGATAATGTAACATCTATGGTCCATAGATAATAAGTACATTTTTTGGTTTGGTCACTCACAGTTGTATTTTTTGAGGTTTATTGTAGTCTCCCTGTAGTCCTTAAATTTAATTTAGAATTGCTTGATATACTAATGTTATTTATGTACTCATTAATAGATGTCAGTTGTGGTATTTAAAATTACTGGTGTTAATGGGGAAATTGATATCCGAGGAGAAGACACGGAAATCTGCCTTCAGGTGAACCAGGTGATACCGGATCAGTTAGGCAATGTCAGTCTCCGGCATTACCTTTGTAACCGTCCGATTGGTAAGATTCTTTTTTTTTTTTTCTTAAATTATTTTTCACTCAGAATATATTTCGATATGCTTTAAGCTTGTTGTTTGTTTCCCCTGTAGTTCATTGGTAGTCCTATCGTTAATGTCATTGGATTCAGGGGAAATGACATTTTATTTATCCTTGTTATGTTTAAAGATACGTACTTTTACGTTACCTTATCTCCATAAAATATTTTAATTCGTTTATTGGAAATATTTGTTCGAAGTATAATGTGATTTCTTTTTATTTGTGTTGTTGATAAAGTCCACTTCTTATTTTTACGTGTTGTTTTGCCACTATTTGATTGTGATTCTGAGGAACTGAAAACTTGGTTCATGAAGAGTGTTTAATTATGCTAACAGGTAAAATTCAGTTCTATTCTGGAATAAATGCAATTTTTATATTTCATTATCCTGCTTAAAACTGAACTTTTTCTGAGGCTAGTATGCAGTTTTATATGAAAAAATATGTATCCTGGGGCCAGCACCGTGGTCCAGTTAGCTAATCCTCTACCCAGAAATACCAGCATCCCATTTGGGCATGGGTTTGTGTCCCAGCTGCTCCACTTCCCATCATCCATTTTCTGCTTATGGCCTTGGAGAGCAGTGCAGGATGGCTCAGGTCCTTGGACCCCTCCTCCTATGTGGGAGACCTGGAGGAGGCTCCTAGCTCCTAGCTCCTGGCTCCATCTGGGGAGTGAACCAGTAAATAGAAGAATCTCTCTGTCTCTACTTCTCTCAGCTTTTGCAATACAAATATAGAAATCTTTTAAGAATTATTTACTTATTTTATTATTTTAGGTGATTTACATATTTGATCAGGATGAGAAGGATCTATGGTTAGGGTGTGATCATTGTTTCCAAACTTTCCATTTCTTTTTCCCATTTGTGGGGGAAGTGGGCAATAGAGGAAGAACCATACCCAGCCTCCCAACCATCCCATTACCTGAGGAAGGGGACCGGCCACCCAATATCAATCCAGGGTCCCAGTGTGGTGCATGCTTTGAAGATTCCGCCCAGATGGATGCAATAGTTCTGAATTGTTGTTGATTTTGCTGATTTATGGATGAGGAATCCTTTTCAATGTCCATTGCCTGATACAGTCGACCTTAGAGTCTTCATTGGCCCAGCTATTTGCTGTAATCATTTGGCTGGGGTAGTTGTCCATATATTCTTTCTCTGTTTTCTGCTATGGTCCCAGATGTCCTCTACAGGCCCCAAATCTTCTATATGCACCATGGGCTGCCATCCATCACTTCATCTTTTATGCTGTGGAAGACCGGTTCTCATAGTTGTGCTCCTTGGACCCAGGTCAAGCATGCCCAGCCAGGCTCTCAACCCTGATGCTCACAGACTCTGCCCCCACCATACAGGCGGGCCAAGAACCTGAGCCAGGCAACCTGAGCCCCACTCCTGGGGCTCACGGATCCAACATCCACTATGCAATACAAATACAGAAATCTTTAAAAATTTTTGAAAAAAGTATTCTTTTGTAGTTTTTTCAGAGATAAACATATTTGCTTGGATACACTGGAATATAAGCAACAAAGCATTCAGTATATAAACAAGAAATCACAGCATGCTGTCCTGTTTTCAAAGTTTTATTTGGAGGGGCAGGCATTTACTAGCAGTGAAGACAGCAGTCTCCCATATTAGAACACATGGAGGTAGCACCCGGCTCTAGCCCACGCTAAAACAGACCCTGGAAAGCAATTGCATCTTGAGTTCCCAGTTCCCAGGTTCAGCCTAGACCATTCCCAACTCTTGTTGAGGTTTTAGGACTAAACCAGTGAATATATATGTGCACTCTTTCTTTCTCAAATAAATAATTTAAAATTTTTTTATGACAGTTTCACTTATTGTCTTCAGTCCTTTGAAGAGTATTCAGATGGTTATATTAAGAATTTAAAGTGAGGCTTTTTCCTGAGAACTCGTAGGATAAATTACTTTCATACTGTAGAAATCTCAGTGGTTTTTTTCTCTCCAAAATCACTAGTTTTTGTCTCGTGAGTTCTGTGAATTGTGAAGTTGATCATATATTTCCTTGTTGCTAGGCGTTCTGGTCTATTTTTGCACAGAAATTTAACTGTTGTGTTTTGGGTTATTAACCTTCATCATTCAGCTTTTTTTCCCCATCATTTTCCTTGCTTACTTATTTTTTAATCGGGTTATAGTAAGTGCATGTTATCTTGTATTTTGAAACAAGTACATAAAGTGCTTAAGCAAACTAGCTACCATGACTGTTCAGTTTAACAAATTTATTCCAGTGGTTCCATTGGTAGTATAATCTTTACAAAAAATTTTTTAAAGATATATTTATTTCTATGAAAGAGTCAGAGAAAAGTCTTTCATCTATTGATTCCCTCCCCAGTGGGCTACAAAAGCCTGCTTGGACCAGATCAAATCAGGGGCCAGATTCATACATGTCTCCCACATGGATGACGGAGGCCCAGGTACATGGGTGTTTGTTGCCTTCCGAGGCAAACTAGCAGGAAGCTGGATTGGAAGCAGAACAGCCAGGTCTGGGACTTGGACTAAGGGAAGACAATATCAGAGCAGGGGCTTAATTCTTCCGTGCTTTGAAGCTGGTCCCTAATTTATCTTTTAGATTGATTTAATTATTCTAAGGTTTAATTGGAGAGAGACAAAGAGAGAGAGAAACAGTTTTCCATCCACTTTTTCACTCCTGAAATGGCTGCAGCAAGCAGGGCTTAGCCAGGCAGAGCTTAGCCAGGCCCAAGCCAGGAGCCTAGAGCTCCATCTAGGTCCGCCATGTGGATGCAGAGATTCAAGGAATTGTCCGATCTTCTGCTGTGCACATTAACACAAAGTTGAATTAGAAGTATAGCAGCTGAAACTTGAACCAGTGACAGTATGGGGTGTCAGTATCACAGGCAGTGGTTTAACTCTCTATGCCACTATGCTGGCCCCTCAATTTTTTTTTTAAGCTTAAATATTCGTATCTATATATGCCATCTCAAATCTGTTTTTGGAACAGGGCCAAAATGTACGTATGCAATTTGTATACACACATGATTTTAACTTCAGTTTTTAGTTTGTCTTGTAACAGAAGCATTTTAGTGAGGTCTGTTACTTTCCATTATTTAATAAAACAGTTTAATACAAAGTTGCAAAGCAGCTTTTGCTGCCTCTTCAGAAATGGCTTAAGAGTCCCTTTAAATGCAATAATGGTGTCTGCATCACTGTTGTCCATTATGTTACAAATGTATAGATAGCTAGACACTCAGACACACTCTCAGTCCATGTAAGGTATATCATAACCAGTTACATCTTGACTTGCTTTTTTTCCGTTATTAAAAAATGTGAGATGCAGAAAAGTCAACATTATTTTTGTATAAAGTTGCCTTAAAACATCAGTAAATATGTGGTGTGTGTGTATATACTATAGAATATCATTTAAATTAGGGGAAATATAAGAATTACTTCATTGTCCGTTGTTTTAGTGTTCAGAGTGACAATAGCTTCTTAATAGCAATGTTTTTTTTGTTGTTGTTGTTTGAGTGGTAATACAAGGTTGTGATTTTTTTGTGTGCATTTTCTTTAGGGTCCGATCCAAAAGCTGTAATTCATTCCAAAGCCTCTCCTGAAATTTCTCTGAAGTTTGAAAGTGGGCCTGGTGCTGTAATACACTCTGTACTTGCTGAAAAAAATGGATTTCTGCAATGCCGTATAGAAAATTTTAGTACTGAGTTTCTTACATCTTCTCTTACGAATATTCAACATTTTTTGGAAGATGAAACTGTTGCAACAGTAATGCCAATGAAGATACAGGTTTCTAACACCAAAATAAATTTAAAAGTATGTTAAATAACTTTATATTTTTATATTGTAAATGTTCACTTTTTCCTACCTGGACTTTGATTCTTTCTTAGAATGTGCCTCTCTGTACTCAGTATGTATGAAATGAATTCATTGGTCTTCATAATAAGGTGGTAGAGATTCTTCTCAGAAATTAGGAAATGTCAAAATAGAGCAGGCAGTTTTCTTATTGTGTCAACTGACTTAACAGTAATATCATAAACTAAAGTAATACTCATTTTTTAAAAAGGCATTGTTTTGGTTAAAGCATGCTACTGCTGCTTCTCTCTGGCAGGATGACAGTCCTCGGAGTAGTACGGTGTCCCTAGAACCAGCTCCAGTGGTTGTACACATCGATCATCTTGTGGTGGAGAGAAATGACGATGGCTCTTTTCATATCAGAGGTATATTTGAAAACATTAAAGAAATGTTCGGATTTCAAAGTCAAACTTTTTATGAGCTACTTGCTGATTGCATAATATTTAGTGTATTTATATAATATTTACTATGCAGTAGTGGATAATTGGACACTTGCAGTACCTTGTGATGAAATATCCATGCAGTCTTCTAACCTGAAAGGAATTCATCTGGTATAGGTTCACTGCCTGACCTGCACGTGTGGTCTGATTGGGAGTGAGAGACTTCATGGTCTATGCCTGCAGCTTCTCCTCGTGTCTGTTATTTCCCACTGTGACCTCATATATATTCACACATGCTGGCATCTTCTTTGGAATGGAACTTACTCTGCATTTTTCCATCTGTATTTTCTTATTTGTTCATGCCATGTGTATACTTCTAGTTTTTCAAGACTGTCTCACACTTCTCCTTTTTAATGAAACCTTGTTTATTCTCTGATGTGTTACTTTATGGTAATTTTCTGTTTATCTTTATAATACATTGCTACATATTTATTCCCCATGTTTGTCTCTATTCTAACAGGATTTTTATTTATTGGAAAGTCAGATATACAGAGAGGAGGAGAGATAGAGAGGAAGATCTTCCATCTGATGATTCACTCCCCAAGTGAGCGCAATGGCCGATGCTATGCCGATCCGAAGCCAGGATCCAGGAACTTTTCTGGATCTCCCTTGTGGGTGCAGGGTCCCAAAGCTTTGGGCTGTCCTTGACTGCTTTCCCAGGCCACAAGCAGGGAGCTGGATGGGAAGTGGAGCTGCCAGGATTAGAACTGGTGCCCATATGGCGAGGACTTTAGCTGCTAGGCCACGCCTCTGGGCCTTCTAACAGGATTTTTAAGGTGGCTCAGGAAAGGATTGCAGTTTACAGAATATAGTGTGGAATAGTGGAAAGAGCATAAGCCAATACACTTAGCTGTTCCTGTTTTGATAAGTGACTGATGCTGAAACATGATGGACTGATCTGTTGGATTTTATCTCTTGAAATGACAAGAAATATTTAGAAAGAAAAAGTTGATTATACTGCAGTAGAATAATAAAATCATTAGGGAGCCAGATTTTTTTCAACCTCATGTTTAAAAAACAGAGAGGTAGTGAATGAGGGAGTGAGTAAGAGAAAAAGAAATCCAGAACAAGATACACAGAGCTCTCCCATCCATTGGCTCACTTAGCGGGTCTGCGTGAGGTAGAACCCGGGAGCTGGCAGCTCAGTCTGGGTGTTCCACACTGTTAGCACAACCCAAGTACTTTCAGGTTGTGAATTAGCAAGAAAGCAGAAGAATCCAGAGCGGTGATGGAATCAAACTCTGGCAGTATGTTATGAAATGCTACTATCTGATGTTGTGTGATTTGACCAGTAACCCAGATGCTCACTCCGGAAATCTAGAATTATTATCATCCTTGAAATGTAGAGAAAATTTCAGAGACAAAACAAGAGATATTCCATCTGCTGGTTCACTCTCCAAATGCCTGCAATAGGCAAGGGCAAAGCTGGCAGAGTGGAGCTCACTCCGCATCTCCCGTGTGGGTGGCAGATGTGCAGGTATCTGAGCCAACATCTGCTGCCTCCCCAGTGTGCATGAGCAGGACGTTAGATCTAAGACAAAGCCAGAACTTTCCAGGCACTCCAACGTGAAGTGTGAGCATCCAACCAGCATCTTAACTACTGCACCAAAGACCTACCACAATAAATTCTTCAAAGGGTCAAGGGTCAACCAGAATATAAATCAGAGAGGCAGAACTAGAGAAATACAGCACTATAAATACATATAAGAGAGGACTGTGCTTGAGATCAGAGCAGTTTGTAGAGACAGTGATAGAAGCCACACCACCAAAGATAAAAAATCATCACCTTCCTTGGTGATAAAAGTTCCAGTGGAAAAAGGTAATTCAAGTCTGTGAGAAGAGAGTCTTGATCTCTTCAGCTTTAAAAACAGCAAATCTGTCTGCCAAAGCCGGAACACATTGAGACATATCCAGCTCCTTTCTTTTAAATAGATTTATTTTATTTTTATTTGAAAGAGTTACAGACAGAAAAAAAGACCGAGAGAGAGAGAGAGGAGAGAGAGAGAGAGAGAATCTTACATCCTCTGGCTCACTCTCTGGATATCCATAAAAGCTGGAGCTGAGCCAATGTGAAGCCAGGAACCAGAAGTTTCTTCTGGGTCTCCCTTGTGGGTTCAGGGGCCTTAGAACTTGAGCCATCCTCTGCTCCTTTTCTGAGCTGTAAGCAGGGAACTGGATTGGAAGTGGAACAGCTGGAACTTGAACCATTCACATGGGATGCCAGCATCACAGGCTGAAGCTTTGCATACTATGCCACAGTCCCACTCTTGGTAGCTTCTTTTCTAAACTCATGAATAAGATCAATTGTAACTTCTCTGGGCATGGATAAATAGGGGCCATGAAAGTTCTTGAAAGTTTTAGAGAAGTTCTTCCTAAAAAACATTAGAAATCTCTCTAGAAGGATACCAGGATTAGAATGGGACCTGAGGCAATGGCATGAACAGTCTAGAACCTACTCTGATTCTCCACCTAGTAGCAGACTTTGGTAGACTTTGCAAATGGAGTAAGATGTTGAAGGCATCTGCACCTGTTAGCCTCGGAATGAGGAGGATTTCATACTCAGCTGATGAACTTGGTGTTTCTCACCTGGTATCACAGTCCCTTCTCACGACCACTTGAGGGTGGCTGTAGCAAATAGAAACAGCAGTAGACTCCAGGGATAGAAAATGGTATGAACATACACCTAAAAGTTGTCAGACATTTGGATGAGGCAGTACCAGTTGTCCGTCGTAACTGTGAGCAGGGAATTCTGTTGCTGATAGAGCACAAGATGAACCTTTTAAACATGATTGGAATTGGGGCCAGCATTGCGGCACAGCACTTCAAGCCAGTTCATGCCCGGACTGTTCCACTTCTGATCTAATTCCCTACTACTGGCCTGGGAAAAATTCAAGTGTTTGGGTCCTTGCCACTCATGTGGGAGACCAGGAGGAAGCTCCTGGCTCCTGGTTCCCACCTGTCTCAGACCTGGCCATTGTATTTTGGAGTGAACTAGCAGATATGGAAAGTCTGTATGTCTCTCCCTTTCTCTGTATTACTCTTTTTAATGATTTTTCTTTAAAATTATAGAACTAGGGTAGAGTTGATAGTCTAGAAATAAGCCTTTATTTTTACGGTTAATTGATTTTTTTTAACAAGGGTGCTAAATTCAGAGGGGGAAAAGCCAGCCTTTTCTGCAATTGTTGCTGGTAGTACTAGATGGCCACATTGAACTTCTTCGTTCTTTTTTGTACAAAGTTTACTTTGAATAACTTAAATACCTAAATATTAGAGCTAAAACTATAACATTCTTAAAATGTAGTAATAAATCTTTGTGACCTGGGTTAGGCAAAACCTTCTCAGATACTTTACAAAAAGTACAAATGTTCCCTCCCAAAGTGACTTGGATTTCATCAAAATTTAACTTTTATAGCTTAAATGATACTATCAAGAAAATGAAAAGGCAACCCAATTGGTCGGGAAAAAAATATTTGTAATTATGAATCTGGTAAGGGAATGATGTTCAGAATATAGGAAGAACAAATCCTTATAGTTCAGTAGTAAAGATATAACTCAATGGAAAAGTACTGAAACAGTGTAGGAGGGGAGACTGGCCCCCATTCCACTCTCTTCCACCCCTGTCCTTTCTGCTCTGATCTCAGGCCTGCATGGTTCTGCCGTACCATCTGTAACAAACACTAAAGACAATTTTTAAAAGATTCATTTATTTTAATTGGAAAGTCAGATTTATAGAGTGAATGAGAGACAAATAAAGATCTTCTGTCCACTGGTTTACTCCCCAAGTGGCCACAACAGCTGGAGCTGATTCAAAGCCAGGAGCCAGGAGCTTCTTCTGGGTCTCCTACGCGAGTGCTTTCCCAGGACACAAGCAGAGTACTGAAAGGGAAGTGGAGCAGCTGGTATACAAATCAGTGTCCATATGAGATCCTGGACATGCAAGGTGAAAACATCAGCCACTAGGCTACTGCACTGGGACCTAAAACTAATTTTTTTAGAAAAGGAAGAGTGGACTTGTCTCCAGAGAAGATATGTAAATGACCAATAAGTACATGAACAGGTGCTTAATACTAATTAGCCAGTAGGGAAATGCAAATAAAAACCACAGTGAAGTACACTTCATGTCTGCTAAAATGACTACAATAAAAAGGCAGGTAGAAATGTTGGCAGGTGTGTGGAGCAGTTGGAGCCCTGCTACACTGCTGGGATTATCTCCACTGCAGATGGTTTGGAGATGTTTAGTAGTTCCTCAGAAAGCTGCACAGCCTTACCTGAAACTCAGCAGCTTCCCTCCTAGGTGTATGCACAAGAAAAGTGAAGGCATCTCTATACAAAACTTGTATGTGAATACTTATAATATTCATAATAACCAAAATGAAAATGGCATTATGTAACAATGGGCTTTAAAATGGTAGTAAAAAGGTCAGTACACTGATAAATATGACACCATGAATAACATTATGTCAAATGGAAGATGTCAGTTACAAAAGGCCACGTACTGCAATTCCATTTATATGAAGTGTCAGTGGAGAAAGAAAGTAGATTCATGGTTGCTTAGATCCATGGGGGTGGAATTTAAAAGGAATGAAGACTAAGAGGCTAATGAGGGGAATTTTTGAGAGTGAAAGAAACAATGATTGTATCATCTGCAAACATACTGAAAAGCATTGAGCTGTACACTTTAAATGGGTGAAGGATATGACATCAATTTTTCAGTAGGACCTTGAAAAATCTGGAATAGCCTTTTCAAGGCTTATTCTCCAGGACTCATGCCCTGAAGCCCAGTGCAGTGTCCGGAGTGTGTTGAGGTGCCATCTACTCATGTTTGTGGGTAGACGCTGCCCATCTTCTTCTGTGTGTCCACCCCCATTTTGCATCCTTACACTGATTTCTGTGTCTGGGAATTGTAGTCACGGCTTTTTTTGCCTGAGAGGCAAGTGGAGATTATTGTTTTTTGGGAAAACAGTTCTTAGAGTATTGCCCGTGATGTTTCCTCTGTCCTCGCCTTGTGTCTAATACATGCGAATACAGGTACTTTTATTTTGTAGCTGTTGTTCTGGTTTCTCTCTGTACTCATTTTACTCCAGTGTGTATTTCAACATTTGTGTATCATTTGTAAAGATAAGTAGAATCTTCAGAGTTCTGTGGATTAAGTTAAGTTTTATTTAAAAGGCAAAATAAAAGTAATTTTGCAGTGAATTTTGCAGATTTCTTAGTCAAGATAAAAAAGAAAGAACAGCAGTAAACCAAGGAACTGCTAAAAGTTGAAGCTTAAATTTTATTACATAAAAGTACCATTAAAGATTCTACAATGTAAATTTCAGTAATATCTAGTAACATTTTGTATATGATCATACATGACCGAGAAATAATTTCTGTTAAACCACGAAGGCAAGAGGAAAATTGAAAAAGATATCCGATCAATCTAACTCTATCTTCCCAGCCTTACTTTTTGCACTGTGCCTCCTTTTTTCTTATTTCTAATTTGCCTTATAACCACAAGTTTAACCCTCTGTTCTAAATAATTCAACAAGTACTAAAGTTGCAAATCACTGTCCCTCAGGAGTACAATATCTATAAATAGTCAAATCTTAAAAATGTCAGTTTTGCTCATATAAACTGTATTTATTTATTTATACAATGTATATTGGTTGATACGCATTTATTTATATTGGTGCAACAAAGCAAGGAAAACGTACAATATTTAACTCTCTAGGTTTGTCTTATTTCACTTACCTAGTGATCTGCAGTTGCATCCATTTTGTTCAGTAACAGAATTTCATTCTTTTTTACAGCTGAGTAGTCTCTTTCACACACAATTATATACATGCAAATACGTAATCACAGTCTTCATGCAGTCATCAGTTGATGGGCGTCTGTCTGAAATCCATGTCTTAGTGATAGTTGAGTAGAACTACTCTATCCTTCAGGGAACAGATAGCTCTTTCATGTGCTGATTTGCTTTCTGTTGGGTCATGACATCCCTCCCCTTCTGTTACCTTCTCCTGGTTAAAGGTAACACACTTTTCTTTTTTCTTATTTAGCCATTTGGATCTCCCCAAGTTTCCCTGTTGAGAAACAGAATGCCAATAGATTCTAAAACATTGATTCCATTCAAGCCATTTCTTTTTTGGTAGTAAAATTTATCATTAACAAAAGCGTTGCAGAAAACAAAAATGCTTGTTTAAGAAAATTTTAGTATATTGTCTGAAATATTTCATGAGGAATTAGTCACAATTGAGATTAGATTACTTCTAGCATGATTTCCTGCTTTAAAATACCATCTCAATCTAATTAAACTTTCATAGTATTTCTCACATGACTAAAAATGTACTTGACTTGCTAAATAATTACTGTTTGCTGAAGAAAATAGTTATTTTCGGCAATTTTACGTCATGTAGGGAAAAAATATCCAGTTATATATACAGGTTCAATAAACACAGAATCAAACATCAACTTGATGAGTAAAACTAATCGTAGTTCTTGGAGGTTTCTTCCCAAGTAGTTTCTTCTATGCTGCTTAATCAGTGTTATATAGCTATACAATAGTAAAACACGATTTTCCAGCTAATGATGTAGTGGTTACAGTCAGAAGTAAATCACTGTGTCACTGAGCATGTATTCAGATGTATGACTGAAACCATAATGTCAGTTATGATAAACAGTCAACCAGTAGCCTTACTTGCTTCTCGGAAAGGAACAGTGTTCTTGGGGAATGATCGGAATGGCCCAGCTTTTTTAAACTGTACAAAAATTAAGTTAAATAAGTTACAAAGCCATACTGTATTTTACATTCTCAAAGTAAATTTTAGTTAATAACCAGAGGCATTCAAACACTATTTTTGTGGTGATAACAATAGCTTACCTAACATTTTCTCTTTACTCTTTCCTGTTCTTTTAATATATTCTAAGCTATACTACAGCTCTTCTGGATGTAATTAAAGTCCACCGTGAAACAACAGGTGTTTTAATGCGTTATTGTTTTGCTGCTTATCATAATTCCTTGGGAAAGTCTTAAAAACAATTGTTTCAGTGAAGTCTTTAAACAGAAACTTCAAATAGCTTCAGACACTTAAGAGGGCACATCCCAGTTCCTTCTTGCTCCAGTAAAATGTTGCTAATTAATAATTTAGGAGAGAAAGATGAAATGCGGGTTCATGCATTTTTGTGTAGATAGTGCCGTTTGTTGCCAGTGAGTTTTCGCAGCAGTATACACTGTCAACAATTCTTCACCTGCCCATCTCTAACAGAAGCTATGGCATCGAGTCTCGTACAGAAATTTAAGAGAGAATATTATGTTTTGAAATTTCCACTTTAATTCCTGAGATAACGTATTTTAAACTTCAGTACAATCAAGGGATGAACGCTTCACCAAATAAGAAATTTAACAAATAAAAAGCAAAGGCCATCATTTAGTTGAAAATAGGTAAGTGCTGTAAATGGTAATCCAGTGGGAAGATAACCATTTCTTCTGTGTGCAGTATAAATTTAAAAATATTTACAGGTCATTATAACCTTTTTGAAAGGTAGAATTAGAGAGAAGGAGAGGTCTTCCTTCCATCTGCTGGTTCACTTCCCAGATGGCTGCAATGACCCAGGAGCTTCATCCAAAATTTCCCATGTGGGTGGCTGGGGTCCAGGCACTTGGGCAGTCCTCCACTGCCTTCCCATGCACAGTGCCAGGGAGCTGAATCGGAAGCAGAACACCCAGGACTGGAATCGGCACCTGTGTGGGATGCCAGTGTTGCAGGTGCTGGCTTTAACTGCTGCGCCGTCGGCTGATCTAAGAGTATGCGTTAGTAACTACTGGTTTGACCAAACTGCAAAAGATTGACAATAATGTTTTGTAGCAATACTACTGATACAGGTTATTTCTCTCTCTCTCCTTTGTTTAAAATTTTAGTTCCCATATATGGGAGAGAATATGGCAAGGCAATTTCTCTCTCTCTCTCTATTTTTTTTTTTTTTTTTAGGAGCTCTTCATAGTGCGTTCCACAGTCTAAGAAAGCCTAAGAGCTACCCTTTCACCACATCTTCACCAGCATTTGTTTCTGCCTTTGAATAATAGTTATTTATTCATGTTTTTATCTATTTGAAAGGCTGAGTACAGAAAGAGATCATGCATCCACTGGTCCACTCTGAAAAAGGCCACAAGCTGAAGCTGGGTCAATCTCTAGCCAGTGTCTTCTGGGTCCGTCATGTGGATATAGGGACTCAAGGACTTCGACTGTCCTTTGCTGCTTTCCCTGGCCATTAGCAGGGAGCTAGATCAGACGTGGAGCAGCCAGGACATGAACCAGCATTCATATGGAATGCCAGGAGCACAGACAGAAGCTCAGGCCACTAAGCCACAATGCTGGCTGCATTATACCCATTTTGACAGAAGTGAAGTGATAGAGATATCATTGTGGTTTTGATTTCCATTTCCTTGGTGGCTGGTGATAATCACCATTGTTTTTCTTTTATTTTTGGCCATTTGTATTGCTTTTGAGAACTGTCTGTTGAGACCATTATTTCTTTCTTTCTTTATTTATTTTAGATTTTTTATTTGATAAAGTTAAAGGAGAAGGGTAGAAGACAGAGAGATCGCCCATCTGCTGGTTCACTCTTTAAATGGCCATCACATCACTGGCTAGGTCAGAACCAGTAGCTTTTTCCAGATTTCCCACGTGGTTGCAGGGGCCCAGCATTTTGTCCTCTGTTGCTTTCCCAGGGCATTAGTAGGGAGCTGAATTAAGAGTGGAGCAACAGATACTTATATTGTTGCCATATAGAATGCTGATGCCACAGGTGGCACCTTGAGCCACTATGCCACACCATTGCATCTTCTTCTGGCTTACTGCTGTTTTTATCCTGAAATAGTGTAGAATTTCTCCAAATACTTATCTCTGTGTTTATATGATCATGCACCTTTTGCGATTTTGTCTATTAATGTAATGTCTTAGCTTAATTGATTTTTTTTCCTATTAAATCCGTGTTGCTTTTCCTGTTGGATTCAGTTCGCTGATATTGTATTAAAGATTTTTAAGTCCATGTTCCCAGGTATACTGATCTTTGTTTGCTTGTCTAACTTTGGTATCCTACTACTTGATAGACAAACTTTGGAAGGACTCCTGTTCTGTTTTCTGGAAGATTCGATATAATTTAAATATCTGAAAACAGTTCAGCAGTAAAGCCAACTGGCCTGAGCTTGTCTTTGTGGGTAGTATCTTGATTGTAGATTCAATCTTTACCACCTATAGGTGTGTTCAAATTGGTTTCTTGGGTCTATCTGTGTAGTTTGTTTATTTCTAGAAATCTCTGTCATAAGTTGCTTATTTGTTGGCATGCAGTTTTACTTTATTCACCTTTGTGTAATATTATTGGTAGTAATGTTTTCTTTTTCATTTCTGATCCTGTAGCTTGGTGTTTTCTTAGTTATTCTGACTAAAGGCATTATTTTTTTTTTCTCAAGAAATGAACTTGTGGTACTTTAGATTCTGTGTCTTTTTAATTCATAATTTTGTCTTCAAACTAATAGACGTGTTCATTTATAAATTAATTTTCCACTACTGAGTTTTTAAAGGTTTCTCAGTTATTTGGAAATGTTAACTGATAATTTTATTTGTCTGATCAGATTCTCCCTTGTTTAACACTGGAAATGATTTGAAAGAAAATGTAAAAAGTGACTCAATGCTGCTTACCAGTGGAAAGTCTGATCTGAAGAAGCAACGCAGTGTCACTCAAGCCACTCAGACAAGTCCCGAAGTTCCTTGGCCTTCCCACTCAGTTAATGTTCCTAAGGGCTCCTTTGACATTACCAAGGAACAGGTAAAAGGAAACTTTGATTCAAGTATGTTTTCAACAGTTAAAAAAAAAGTAATTAGATGTTAAGATGCTAAATGCTAAATGTTTTATTGCCAAAATCTTATTGGAATTGAATGTCTTTTTCTGTTCAGGCACTGTGCCAAATACTGTGATTTCAGTGCAATTCATTCAACCCTTCTGCAGTGTTTTCCATATTTTTGTGATTTCATACCCTCAAGCTCTTTTCCATAACTTTCAGAGCAATATTCAAGTGAGTAGAGTATATATACAAAATAGTTTGACCTAGTATTGTTTAACAAACTTTTTTGGTATTATTTGATATGAATTGGCTAAGACAGGACCAACCATGAACTGACCTCTTTAATGTTACTGTCTGTTTTTGCTGATCCACATCACTTTTAGTGCGGACAGCTGATCGGCATAGCGCACTACAGCCCAGAACTCCTGGACTCGAGCGATCCTCTGGCCTCAGCCTCCCAGCTAGCTGGGGCTCCAGGCGTGTGCCTGAGGCCAGAGGCCTTCAGCTTGCCAAGTGCCTCACCTGAACTGGCACTTTTGCAGAGTTCATGGTTAGTCCTGTCACCATTGTCTATCTTAGCTAATCTATATCAATTTCTACATCTTTTTTGTAATTAATTTTGATGGGTGGTTAATTTTTGAGCTTTCCTCTTTATATTTGTTAATGTTCAAGTTACTTCTGATTTTTAGCCCTTATAAGTAAACAGATTTTTCATTGGAGTCTTAATTCTGGAACTGCAGAATGAGTTCATTCATCTGTTCAGTAAAGATTTATTGAATGCAAAAATCAGAGCTGGAGGCATAGAATTAAACGATACACTATACCTGCCTTTTGAGGAATACAGCATCTAATAGGAAAGACAAGTATACAGTCAGTGGTTAAACATACCATGTCGAGTGCTGTGCTACAGATTGGGGGAAGTATAGAGAATTACTGAACCTGTTTGTAAGGCAGAAATTCCTCAGCTGTGACCAGGAATCCCAGGATTCTTTGAAATTAAAAGCATATACTTTAATGTATCTGAATAAATGCAGAAAGTCCTTGGTTTCATTCTATCCTTATTCTTAGGGTTTATGGAGTAGATCCAAGAGATTTAAAACTTTGAACTTGAATTTAAAGAAAGGAGGGGAATCCTCTTGGCCTTTTAGATGACATGTCTAGTGAGATATTCAGAACGTCCAGAGTCTGGAGCTCAGAAGTCCATGATGGTTTAAGTCACAGAATTAGATGAGATGATCCAAAAGAATGAGTCACACAACAGGAGAAGACCACCCGAGAGATCTAATGGACTGGCAAAATGTAAACGTTCTTTAAAAGGAGAGAAAAAATTGAAAAGGACATAGCTTGGGAGGGATAAGCCGGATGATGCCACAAGGGAGGGAGGGAGGATCTGAAGTCACAGAGCAGCCCAGAGATATCACCATGAAGCAGAATCACTGTTAGATTTAGAAATTAGGAAATTAATTTGTCTTGAATTCCTAAACCAAAATTAGGACCGTTTTTAAGTGTTGTGTCTCAAAGCAGTTTTCAGCCTAAGTGGGCCCTCCCTATCACTGGATAGGTACAGATAGTTTGTAATTTCTGGACATGATTAAATTTTCTTCTTTTTCAAATTTGTCATTTTAGCTCATGGAAGAAAACGAATCTCTTAAACAGGAGCTGGCTAAAGCTAAGATGGCTCTTGCAGAGGCCCACCTAGAAAAAGACGCTCTTCTTCATCATCTAAGGAAGATGCCAGTGGAATAGCAGAAATGGCAGTCAAAACTCAAATTACAAGCTTTGGAGAAGGAAGGCTATATTTATAATGGTGATGTTATCAATTACTGAAAGACTTGATTTTCCATGAAAAAACAATAAAGTAAAATTGAAAATGGTAAAGTGATGACTATTCTAAAGATGGTTTAGAAAGTATAGGTACAGGTGTGAACAATGTTTTGATTATTTTGTGTTTTGGGGTTTAACTCTCCTGTAAGCTGGTACGATGATCTAGGGCAGTCAATACATATTACAAAATAATTCATGCCTAATGGAAAGATAGCATTTCCTAATTTTGGTGTCATTCTAGGCTTTTTTTTTTTTTTTAAAAAAAAAAAGGAACATGAAAACTTATTGTGTTTATACAGATTGTTGAATTTATTTCTCACTGTTTGTTAATAATTTACTATTATTACAAAGATTCAAATGCTGTTAGGTATAATGTAAAATAAAAGGAGGTGGGGTGTACATTTTAAATGTCATTAAAATTATGTACTTAAATCCATGATTATTATATAAAAAGCCCAATCAAATTAATAAATTATATATTTAAGGAGTTTGAGAACTGGAAACTTACAAAGTATTGAAGTATTAAACTTAAAAAGTAAATTAAATTATTGAAAAACAGAAAAAGCTTAAATGATGGGAAAGCCATGTAAGTGGGAGCTATTCTTTTTAACAAAAAGATAGTACAGATGTAAAAATAAAAAGCACAACTGTAAAAAAGAGCAAATTACTAAACTCTGTGGCCAAGTGATTTAAAACCATTACTTGTACATTCCTTTAGATATTTACTGTTAGAAGTAAAAGTAATAATTTATTCTGCTAAATTTGGCAGCATTTGTAACTATGATACTTTTAATTAATACTGTTTATATTATTTCTTTATCTTTCCTCTTTAAGGAGAATGTTTTCAGAGAATTTGCTTACCATGCACATAAAAGTTTCATACCATTCTTACAGTATCATATTAGGTGTTTGCACATAATTTATAAAGCTAGTTTTGATTACAGTTCCGTGTGATATATACATATATAAATATATACAGTCTTATATAATGAGAGTCATTGGTAAATTTTAAATTCTATTTTCTAGAGATTAAGGTTGAAATCAACATGAGAGTATTACAGTCTTGCACTATGAAATAAAGTACATGAATGTTTAAGAAAGGGCCTTCTAAAGATTTTAAATATATTTCTGATAGAATTAAACTAAGTGATGTCTATTTTAAAATTGCACATTCTTAAATATATCCAAGATAGAATGTCAAGTAGCTGGACTATTCTTTCTTTAAAATACTTGAAAATTCTAGGCCATGTTGTGACATTTTATTATGGTGCTTTGTTTCTTTCACATGACTTCTCTCGCCATCCCTGTATCTAAATCCTTGGGAGAATACAGATTTCATTTACATTAAGGGTTGCAGTGATTATTGGAAACGGTTCTGTCCTTCCTTTTTCTTCTATGTCATCTACTTGCATTGGTATAACTTAAAAATACAGGTACTGTTTTGGGAACTGAGGGTATAGCTAATAAATTGTTTAACATTTAACCTCAGATATGTTTTAAATCATGTAAATCTAAAGCTATTTGGTATCCTCATATCAGAAGCAAAGGTCTGATGAAAGAATTAAGTGCGCAGCGAAAGCCCCTCCCTGGTGGATGTATATTCTGCGGAAGCCTGTGTTTCTCAGGACTGACCTCTTCTGTGCATGTGAACGTTTTGCATTTGCTCAGTAAGCAAAGCAGGTGTTTTTTCCTTTACTCCTTTAGGTCTATTTGGCCTTCCCAAGAAAATCATTTTAATAATAGAAAGGGTAACATTCTGAATATTATGGGTGATTTGATTATTTTCAGTAGATGTTTAACATTCACAAAACACTTCTAAAAAATATTACATCATATAAATCCCATAGCAAAATCTTAGGAGCACTTATCATTCAACTGTTACAAGTTTTTTTTTTTTTTAAAAGTATCTTAACATTCAGAAAGATCAAATGGTTTAACCAAAATCAGTTAGTGCCATAATCTTACATGCTTTTATGTTAGCTTGGCATTAATTGACAGAAGAGGGTCAGCAGGAGGGAGCCACTGTCTTATCCCAGTTTTCCTTTCAGATGCAACTATGACACTTTTAACTGTGTGTGTGTATATGTGCATGCACGCAAGAAGGATACATTACCATGTGTGTATTATTGAAGCTACTTACATAGTAGGCCAAAAAAATGAGTTTATAATAAACTACAAGTGTTTTAAAAACACTGACCACCAGTCACAAAGTTGCCATACCTTGAATTGTTTTCTGTTCAGTCATAGCAGAGAGACGTTAATAACTGGTGGAGGTAGAGGTTTCCACTTTCTGTTTGTTTATGTTTGTTTTAGGTTTCTTTATTTTACACTGACAAGCTTGAGACTATATTTACAATGTACAGTATATTTTATGTTTACATTGCAGAATGGCTGATTCAAGCTAGTTAATGTGTGTGTGTTACTTCACATCCTTTTTTGTTTTGAAAACACTCTGAGCCATTTCAGATATACAATCTGTAAGTTATTAACTGTAACCATAATGTTAGACGGTATGGTTCCTGAATTTATTCCTTTTAATTTGAGTCCTTTGAAAAGTATTCTGCCTCTCCCAGCTCTTACCCCTACTTTGCAAGCACTGTTGTACTCTCTGCGCTCCTGAGTTCAATTTTTGTGCACGCTGCTTGGAAGTAGTAGAGCATCTACTCATTTCGCTTTCTGTGCTTATTTCATTTCACATAGTATTTCACAGGCCTTGTTCTTACAAGTGGTGAATTTCCTTAAAAAAAAAAAAAAGGCAAATATCCCTCCATTTTGCTTATATTTCAAATTTTTAAAATTCATTCATTTGTTGATGGATTACGTGTCTTGGCTATTTCATAATGTTGCAATGGACATGGGATTGTAGCTAACTCTTAACATACTGGCTTTATAGTCTTTAGAAACTTGCCCATTGGTAGTACTGCTGGATTATACAGTAGTTCTGGTTTTGTTTTTGAGGAATCTCTGTGCTGTTTTCTATACTGGCTATTCTAATTAACATTCTCACCAGTGGGACAAAGGTTCCTTTTTTAATTATGTGGTACAATTTTGTATAGGCTGGGATTCCCCCCCCCCCAACTCCTACTCCCAGACAGATTTTTACTACAATGGTGTAGTCCTTCATAAGGAATCATAATTCTATCAGTCTCTTATTTAAGTGTAAAAAGTCCCTTTTTCCTAACGTTCTCACCAACACTTACCTTTCATTTTTTTAATGATGGCCATTCTATGGAGAAGTGGCATCAAACTGTGATTTTAATGTGCATTTTTTCTGATTAGTGGCATTGAGCATTTTTCACATACCTGTTGGCTTTGTATAGTTTTTGAGAAACATTTGTTCAGATCTTTTGTTTTAATTTTTTTAAAAATTTCATCTCTAATTTTAAAATTTTCTTGCTTCTTACAGATTTTGGATAGTAACCTGGATTAAATGTATGGTTTGCAGATACATTCTCCCATTCTGTAGGTTGCCATTGTATTTTACTGATTATTTCTTTTGCTGTGCTTTAGGGATTGCATCTTTGGTTAGATCAATATTTTGGAGCTTTTTTCTAGTATTTTTATAACTTGTGGTTATGTGTTTAAGTCGTTAATCCAGTTTGAGTGGAGTTCTGTGTTTGGTGTGAAATTAGGTTCTAATTTCCATCTTCTACATGTGAATATCCAGTTTTCACAGCACTGTTTATTTAAGATTGTTCTGTTTATTTAAGATTGTTTATGGCTTCTTTGTTGAAGATCAGCTAATTGTCCAAGGATATATTATTTGGGGACTTTCTATTTCATTGGTATGTGTCTGTTTCCATGGCAGGCATTATTTTTTGTAAATTATAGTTTTTTTGTAGATTTTCTTGAACTTTTTAATTTTATAAATGTCAGAACTTTTTAAATATTAGTTTTCTTTTCTCATCCTGGAATTTCAAAGTACCAACCACTAGTTGTCACACTAGTGACAAAGCATTATTTCAGGTGATCTGTGTAAAAATAGTAACAGTAACTACGTGACCACAGGGACATTTATGTGGAGAACATGAATTTAAAACACTTAAACTTATTGTATTGTCATTACAAATGTCTCAGTATGAGAATTATTTGCCCTCTCTGACAATAATCTATGATTTAATCAAAGCCCCTTCCAATTATTAGTGAATGGAACCACTACTTATCCTGGCTGTAATCGGCACGTTTCCCCATCATCAACTCCTCATCAACATTCGTGTATTTCACTGTGTGCCACTCAGTCCGTAAATAAGTTGGCATCAGGGCCAACATTTACTGCAGTTGTCTGCTAACTGGTCTTCCCAAAGTTAACTGGGGCTCCTGTCACATGCACCCTCCATTCAGCAGACAGAATCGTTTTTGTTCAGTGTGAACTTCTAACCAAGTGAATTTAACTAAATTCACACACCTCATCTTTATCTCTAAATCAAAACATTTCAATGGCCTTTTCATGGCTCCAATCTTGATACCAACACTACTTCATGGGACCTTTACATACTGCTATGTATGGTGAGCTAGCTCTCAGGACAGTAGCTGGCACATCACCTTTTCATTTGATGTTACCTGTTATCAGTAACCTATTTGGGTACCATGTTTTACTTTGTGTTCTGCCTTCATTATCCTTCTTTAATTAGCAGGTAAGAATTAATCCTGCTTCATAGGACCTATGCTCGTGCTTTGGCTTGAAATACCTGTTTGTCCATATTATCTAGTTAACTCTTATGTGTCTTTAGCTCTCTGCTTATTTGTCACTTCCTCAGGAAATGTTCCATGATTTGCGTCAGTGTTTAAAACCTTCCTGCGGTTAACTCATCCTCATATGACCACATGCCTCTGGTTGGCATTTAACAGTTTTGTAGCTATATGTTGTTTGATTATGTCAAACCAACTAGAGATTGTAAACTCTATAAAGACAGGAATTGTGTTTTTGTCATTGTTATTGTTCAACTTTTTATTCCTTATGCCTCATGGAGTACCCAGCACAAAGTAGGTGCTGAATACATTTACTGGGAGAAGAAAAGGACTGGATAAGGAATCAAGAATATTTTCTAGGCATTCTATTTTTCCTCCCAGTTGGACTGAAGGGAGATGTGACAGAAACAGAAAAAAAGTTTGTGGTAATTGTTTAAGATGGCAGGTTGCTTGCGTACAGAGGGGGAAGTAAAGGCAGGAGGATGGGATGGGAATGTTTGCCATATGTGTTCTGCAGAATTTGGAATAGCTAAAGGTCTAGTTGATTTATCACAAAATGGAGAATGAGCACATAACTCATGGTGCTGCTGCAGTGCCAGAAAGTCATCTGGCTACATATGGTGTTGTGGCTGTTGAGATCTGCCAGTTCTGTTTGCCAAACAGAATGGAAATGAGGCCAAAAGAGTAGTAGCTCAAATAGGTTCTTTTTGGGAAGTTGACTGATATTCAAAATTAATTACAAATATACCCAGTTCCTCCAAGTACAGTCTCATCTTACATTGCACGTAGAGGTGCTCAAAAATATGTTTTGAGTTGTGCTTCTTTTTTCTTTTAAAATACATAGAATATTAAAATTTAGAATTGCACAGTATGCTAAAACACCAAGGCAATAATGTGCTTCAAATAAATTATAATCATTCATTGTTATTGTTTTTGGCTTATGAGGAATCTTTTTTGAGAGTTGTATAAAATGAAGGTGAGGCAGATTGAGCCTCTGCCAAGGACAAGCCTAGCATCCCTTATGGGCACCAGTTCATGTCCCAGCTGCTCCACCTCCCATCCAGCTACTTACTAGTGGTATGGGAAAGCAGTGGGGGATGAGCTGAATATTTGGACCCCTGCACCCAGGTGGGAGACCCAGAGGAAGCTCCTGATTCCCACCTTTGGACGTGTCAGCTCAGGCCATTGCAGCCATTTGGAGAGAAATAAAGATGGAAAATTCCCCTCTCTCGCCTAACTTAAGTAAAATAAAGAAATGTTTAAAAACAAAAAAGTCTATCTCCATATTAAAAAACACTTTTAAATGAGTAAAAATGTAAGTGTATTCTAATGATTCTAAAATTCAGGGTCTGGCATGATAGCCTAGGTGGCTAAAGTACACCTTGCACACACTGGGATCCCATATGGGCACTGGTTTCTAATCCTGGTGGCCCTGCTTCCCATCCAGCTCCTGTTTGTGGCCTCAAAAGACAGTGGAGGATGGCCCAAAACCTTGGGACCCTACACCTGCGTGGAAAACTCAGAAGAGGCTCCTGGCTCCAGATAAGCTAGGCTCCAGCTGGTACAGCTGCTTGGGGAGTGAATCAACAAATGGAAGATCTTCCTCTCTGTCTCTCCTCCTCTCTGTATATCTGACTTTCCAATAAAGATTAAATTAATCTTTTTTTAACGTTAAAATTTATATAAAGATAGATCATTGAAAAAGTAGAAAATGGAATTAAAAGTTAATTCTATTTTATTGTGAAAATTTTTGAAATTCTTGTGATTCTTTTTTTCTTAATGCACATTTGAAGGATTTATCGATTGATTTGAAAAGCAGCAAGATAGAGATCCATCTTCCATCCACTGGCCCATTTCCTAGATGCTTGCAACAACCATAGTTGGTCTGGGCAAAAGCCGGGAGTCAAATGCTAACCATTTCTCTCAGGTACATTAGCAGGAGCCTGGGTTGGAAGCATGAAGTAGCTGGGACTCCAAGCAGGTATTCCAATACTGAACCCAGGCATCTTGTCAGGTGAAGCTCAACCCACTGCTCCACAGAGCCCGACCTTTTGTGAAATTTTTAGAGATCTCTCATGTTGGCAGTGCTACTGTGTGATCTTACCAGGTCTGAGAATTTGAAACTTTCATTTTTTAAAGAAAAGTGATGTTAAGACATGAAATCAATTCATGTCTTCCACTTTGCATAGATTTATAAAATTTTTTATGGTAGAAAAAAATCACTAATGATCAAGATGAATAACTTGGGCTTCTTAAGATTCTAAAACCATTGTAACAACAGTGTAGTGCCATATAACTCATCACTTAGTTTTTGGTTTCAGTATGGTTTGTGTCTTCAAAGTTGGTTCTTTACAAATTACACCGAGTTCTTCAAATGTTCAGTGAAATTTTTTATATTCTTATTTTTTCCCTGTTTCTGTTGGCAAGGTGACTTCAATGGGGTGATTAAGACTTTCTTACAGCCATTCAGCAGAATTAGATGGGAAAAAACTCAAACCAAATCACAGAAATTGAAAACAAGTGAGATTTTGTGAACTTTTAAATTAAGGTTTAAGGAAAACAAGGAAAGCAGAAGTAATGCTGAAGGACATGGACAAAATAAATATAGAGAGGTATGATGAAAGTTTACCTTTTCTAATTTTTAAAATCTTTCCCAACTGAAAAAGATATGTAAATCTTTTCAAAATAGTAGCGAACAAATCAAGTATGGAGAATGTATTGAATACATTTTCAACAATTAAACACTTGAAGATCTATGACAAATTCTTAATGTTAATGATATGACAAGTTCTTAATGATGTCAAGTGATATTTAAATGTGTATCATTTGCATTAAAATGTAAAGCAGAAAAACTATAAGAAGAAAATGGTACATGTAGTTCAGTTCTTTAATAAAATGATACCCACAGGATTGTATTTGTTAGAATCTGTTATGATTCCAATTTTGACATGAAAAGAGAGTCAGGACTCTGTTGCTGGAGGCATTATGATTAAGGCAAAAAATGGAATGTTGTGTGAAGCCAGTATATTTGTGCTGTAATTCTAAATAGCATAGTTGTATGTGTATGATAAATCATATTTGGTGCTTCATTCTTATTTTTATATTCTCTGTTCCTTGCAATGGAATAGGAGATTTTCAGTACAGAGCATTAGAGCTAAAAGAAAGCACAAGAGTTCTGAAGAAGGATATAAAATGAACAAGAAAGTCAGCTTTTACAATGTCTAGAATTTAAGGTGTTCCCATAGTATAATAGCAACCTAAAAATGAACCAGGA